CGTCAAGCCTGGTGCCCACAGAGGTGTTAGGCCACGATCTCAACCACCCACAGCTGGCAACGCTGGACATGGCCAACAAATGAGCGGTGGAAAAGTCGTCGCCGCATGAAGACAACAAATTTTGAAAGATTTTTTTATATTCTTCGTTCAAAATTTGGACGTGCGTACGGTCCCCCGGGGCGGACGCTGGGGGAAGAATATCGCGGCAACGAAAAAACCGGTGGAGCAGGGAAGACTGTAGGTCGACTGTAGGTATGTATGTATGTATGAATGAATGTATGAATGAATGAACGAATGTGTGAATGAATGAATGAATGAATGTATGTATGAATGAATGTATGAATGACTGAACGAATGTATGAATGAATGAATGAATGAATGAATGAACGAATGAATGAATGAACAAATGAATGAATAAGAAGGAATGAACATACAGAAAATGCAATAATGAGTCATCTGTTTTTTTTTCTCCTTCGTTCTCCCATGCAGTGGCTGGTTTTGTACACATGTGTGTGTTCTACAGTTTGGGAGGGAAATGCAAATTCGAAAATGTTATCAGCTCAGTGATCAATATTTATTTTGTATTGATCATTTATGCATGTATATATGTGAAAATGTATGTACAATATGTCTAGATCGATGCGTGTTTTTATGTTTGTTCTGTTGTGTGTGTGTGTGCGCGCGCGCGCGTGTGTGTGTGTGTGTGTGAGTGTGTAGAAAAGTTATGAGTTGAGACCATACTTAATCAATTATATTAATTTATAAATGCAAATTGCTTTGGTATCTGTAGAAGATGTGTTGTCAGAGTTGTCTTTGGCATATCTTCATCAAGAATGGTGAAGTCAGTAATAGTGAAAATAATGATGACAAAGATGGAAATCGTTATTCTGGTGAAAATGATGAAGGAGATAATGCAAATGTTGTCGTTGATGATGATGGAAGCGATGATGATAATAAAAAAGAGTATGATAACGACGATTATGATGACGATGATGACGACGATTATGATGATGATGATGGTGAGGATTTCATCGGTTTAGTTTACTTTCACAGTTTGTTTGGTTTCAATTATTAAGTATAAAAGTTATTAATGACATTATCTTATGTCAATTGCCATCTTCTATCTATGTAGTAGTCTGATTTGTCTGTTTGCTCTTTGTTGTATCTACTACACTTGGACCTGTTATTTGTTATTTTAATTTATTTGTTTGCTTTTAGTTAATTAACATTGTATATTTTGTGAGTTATTGTTCGTTCATTTTTAAGTTTAATTCTGTCCAAATTTTTTTATTGTTTCATACAACATGCATGCCTAAGTAGATCCTTTTATGGATGTGTATGTGTGTGTCTGTGTGTAGGTGCGTGCGTGTATGTGTGCGTTGTGTGTGTGTGTTTGTGTGTGTGTGTGTTTGTGTGTGTGTGTGTGTGCGTGTATGTGTGCGTTGTGTGTGTGTGTTTGTGTGTGTGTGTGTGTGTGTGTGTGTGTGTGTGTGTGTGTGTGTGTGTGTGCGTGATACTGTGGATATTCTTAGATGATATAATGAATGTGTTTTCTTAGATGATATAATGAATGTGTTTTGAAATAGCTTCTCAAGATTTTTTTAAATGTCATTCATCCTGTTCAGTTGGTCTTTCTTTAATATCCACTTGACAGTTTTATTGCCTGTTTTATGGTGCTTTGCTTGAAAAATTTATCTCTGTTTTGTGTGTGTGAGATTGTTGTTAGTGTTGATTGGATAATTTACAGTTGTAGCCGAAGTTGAGTGAAGCATTTTTTTTTAATGCGGTTGTCATCGTTCGTTTATTATTAAATATGCCATTATTTTATATTTATTGGCCACATAATTATTTATCTGTTATGCATTATTCAGTGTAAAATGATTGGTTAAATATTTTTTGGTTTGTGATTGGACATTTAGTGATGTTTGTTGTTGAACCTAAAATTTAATTCAGTCACCAATGATTTACCGAATTTTGGTTAAACTGAGGCGCAAACTCGTAAAGGATTATTATTAGTAGAGTTGATGCTAGGAAATGAAAAGAAATCACTCTCTATAGAGAGGTGTGTGATGTTTAGATGCTCAGATTATGAACTTTCTAAATAAAGATACGGGCCATGTTCATTCAAATCATGAACCGTCAAGTTGTTACTGTATGTTATGTTCATTCAAATCATGAACGGTCAAATCGTTACTAAATGTTATGTTCATTCAAATCATGAACCGTCAAGTTGTTGTGTGCTGATTTCATGTTGCTTGACGAGTGGAAATTTGATCTATTCATTCATTCATCAGCCATCTGTCTCGGGTGTGTGTTGTGTATTTTACTTTTTGTATTATAAATATTTATTTTATCTTTCTGTAATTTTTTCAGAGAAGCGGAAAACAAAACGAAAGACTTAAAAAGTCTCAAAGTTTAGCTGGAGGGTATTGTGTTGATGATGAAGATGTAGGCGATGAGAATGATGACGTCATTTTTGCGGGCAGTACGTGCAGTGACGTCGTACATTCTAATGTTCATTTCACTAGAAATAATGGTGAGTAACTTCAACTTGCTTCTGCAATTTGTTCTGTAAAATTTTTAAATGATGCATACGTATCCTATGAAAATTGTACCAGCATTCGTATCTTAGTTCTGTTTTATGGACTGAATGAGTATAGAAACTTAATTTTTTCCACAATAAAGCAAGAGCGTCATTTCCGACAAGGAACTCCTTCCCTAAAACCCCAACGACCTCTTCAGCGAAACTCAAATCCAACGCTGATATTAAAAACAGCAAAAAGACCATCAAATCTGCCCCTCCTGCTCCCTCCTCGTCATCGTCGAAACGGCATGCGAATCAAGCTGCTGGTCTACCTCATATGAGTTTCAATACCAGCGCTCACAAACATCTCGAGCATTTTTCTAAACAGCTTGAAGCAAGTAGGAAGCAGCAGTCGCTGATGTCCAGGAGCTACGTGGAGAGTAGAAAGTCGCCAGCCAGGAGTTCACACAGTAACGGATCGGCAAAGAGAACCTCGCAAGCAAGCACCAAGGACAATAGTGCGTTGTGTAAGATCAACAATGAATTGGAAGGGACTGCCTACCTCATCAAAAAGATGTTAAACGACATTCCATCGACCATTGACAGTGGAGCAAGCACTTCAGATAACAAATCTCAAGTTCTCAACTCGCCAGGCATTGCAAGAAGATTAAAAATGGGCATGAAAAAAGCAATAGAGGACAACAATGAGGAAGATGACAGGGATCCTGATGATGATGCTGCTGATGTTGATGATGATGATGACGACGACGAGAACAATAATGATGACTTGAAAGTGAAACGTCTCACAAGAGCACCCAGTGAATCGGGAACGTACACAATTGAAGATGACGATGAGGATGAAGCCGGTGCAAATTCAAGTTTGGGATTGAAGAATGAGAGGATGAGGATTGATGAAGTGTTTGGCATTGCGTACAAGTTGCCTGTGATTGGCGACGTAGATGGTGATTGTGCTGCAGTGGTTCCTCGTAGACTTGGGGCGTTTGTTGGAGGAGATGGGGACAATAATGAGGGGAGCAATAAAAATATTGCCGCCAAGAAATCTCAGCAAGGTCGTCAGCAGGACGAAAGTGAGTGGTGATTTTAAATTTCTTATTATTATCAATGTAATTTTTTGTTATTTTTGAATTAGCTTTTGTTTGCAAAATTCTTATTCAGTTTCATCTTTAGTGATTGGTTGTTGTGGATAATTTGACGGTTGACTTTTGATTTTTTTATTTTATTAGTTGTTTCAATTTCACGAGACTCATTTGAATTTACACCTCCACACAACAGCCAGTAAGGAGCATCATCACAAGTCAGAAAATGAAACATCTCTTGAGAATAGCTTCGACCAGTATGACGAATATGATGACAATGAAGAGGCTTCAGATGTGGCAAGTTCTATGCCTCGAGATGACTCGTTTGATAGACTGATGAACGAAACGTCATCTCGATTGAACGCTCTCATTGACGCCACATCTAAGGTCATCAATGATTCTGGGTTTGCCTCCTCGTTCAATATCAAACCTTCAACAACAACTTCCGGTGTAGCTAGAATGAGTTCCTCCATTGACCCGACTTGTGCAAATACACAGGCGCACACAAAGCTACAAACTACACTTCCAACGAATGGTAAGTTATCTTTTAATGAAAGCAAAAATGCTGATAGCAGTGAAAAAGCTGGAGAGTCAGAATTTTTTGTGGTGTCATTTGATACTCCTTCCACAAGAAAGGTAAAGAGTGCTTGCTCATCTCGTGGGGCTGCCTTAAAATTAGTGGAAAAGTTTAAAAATAAGGATGATGACATTGAGGATGGTGATGCTAACGAAGGTGATACTGTAGTTAAGAAGAAGTTGAATAAATGTAAAACAGCTGACAGCAATACACTGAGTGACGTCAGTGACAGCAATTCTTTAACGTCTTCCAATGCAACAACTATCACTTCCAGCAAACTAATTGGAGGTCGCAAGTTTGTTCCTCCAATTGCAAAATCACTCTCCAACATCACCAGTGCAGTGAACAGCACCTGCAAGCCGTCAACAACCAAGGAAAGTACCACATTCATTCGAGACATTTCTCTGATCAGAGATGTGGTCGAAGGTAGTGGTGGCATCGATCTGAGGAAGGTCAAGCCCGCAATTGTCAAGGTCACTTCCGTGAAAACGAATCGTAACAGAAATGCGAAGATGTCTTCGCCTGCCTTGAACACTTCCAAACGAGATGAATATCGTAATTATAATGACGATGAAGATAAGTATAGCAGTGATTATGATGACGATAGTTGCAGGTCGCCGAGACACCCATCGAGGTCTCGTAGTGTTGGTCACGGAGATGACAAGTTGACATCTGACCGCACCACTAACACCAACACATTCACCAAAGCCAAATTCACTGCCAGCAAAAATTTGCCATTCACAGCTGGTAGCAAGAGTCAAGGTAATAAAGTTGGCAGCAGCACTTCACAGCAGCAAGCACAGAGCAGAAACAGTGGCGGTGCAAATACAAAGTACGCCATGAAAGGCATGCCGAGCGGTCCCACGTCTCCTGTTAGTGACGTGCCACAAAGAAGATTCAGCTCATCTTCTAATCGACCTCCTCTCAAAACATCCAACTCAACAGCTTCTTCCAAATCCAACCTCTACAATCAGAATACTAACAACAAGGCGGTCCGAAACAATCTGAGTTTAAGTAACAAAAGTTTAGTAAGGAATGATGGCGGCCGTTTCAGTATGAGAGTTGAAAAAACAACAAAAACAGCACCAACTCCAACTCCATCGAGTGACAAGATAGCTGCAAGTAATGCTTGGCAGAGAAGAAAGAATTATGATCCTAGGCTTAGTGCTGGCATGATCCGAGGTGGAGCCACCAGCAGTCGAGGCGGTATTTGCGGTAGCGGCAGCGGTGCAGTGAGGAGCCGTTCAATGTCGGCTAGAAGGAAAGATGATGACTATGAAAGAAATATTTGCGATGATGATGAGGAGGGGGAAACTGTTGCTAGCAAACAATCCAATCTGCAAAACAACAGAAATGTTTCCAACGCACCTACAAGATTCAGTCGCAGCAGCAACAACGGCAGCAGTAACAGCAAGAGTGCGAGAGTGGCCATGACGAAAACCCAGCAGATGAGCAGAAGCAAGATTGCTCAGATGAGCCATGCTGTTGCTGACAACTTGAATGTCCTGATGAGGAATGAGGGATTGGATACACCTCAAGCTCTGGTACGTTTTATTTCATTCTAATGTTCTTCTGTATGAATATGTTATGCACACAAACAAATTCACATATTCGTATTTCACTAAATGTCTTGTAGCAGCATGCATTTTTATTATTTTATTATTCTTCTGAATGTGTTTCTATTTATCTTCCTACATCTTTGGTTGCGTCAAGTTTCATGGTAGACACTGATTTCAAAAAATGCTCATTTTTCAAAGTTTTGTTATATTTAGAGTCTGCAACAGTAAGAGACCATCCATGCAATTTGTTCAGCTTTGAACATATGATTCCTTTTAGACATATAATGTGGTTATTTGTACTTCGCAGTGATTTATACACACACTCCTCAGGTCAAATGTACGCTCATCCATCGTACATACCTGCAGTTATGATCAATGTTAATTAAGCATGTGTGCATTTTTTTTCTTTTTGCATCTACATACTTTTTATGAGCTCCTTTGTTGAAGTTTTAATTCTATTTTTCTTTTTTGTTATACGTAGCATTTTTCAGGCTATTTTAATCATTTTTGAACATGTTAAATTAGTTAATATATATGCAAATTTCAACGACTTATTTTATGTAAAGCTTTGTTGAGAGTTATTATGGTCACTATTTCTTTCGTTATTTATTTACACATTAGTGCTTTTATTGCTGTTATTTTTTTGATTTGTTGTTGTTATCTCAATCACCACTACTTTAACAACAACTGCTGAACAATTCAAACAACAACAACGCAACAACAATAACAACAACAGAAACAACTGCCCTCATTCACTCACGAATCACCATCATCTGCCTTCTCATCACACAACATCACCAAAAGACGCACATCTTCAGAAGATGCACCACTTTCTGATTTTTCGGTAGATTTTTATTTTTGCATTATTTATTTTCTTTTAAATTTTGATGATTTTTGTTTTGTTTTTAACGTTTGTTCATATTCTTACATTTGCATGCTGGCTGTTTATTAAAACTTTCTTTAATGATTCTGAAAAATGTTTGAAGAATTATTTTAGACATATAATGTGGTTATTTGTACTTCGCAGTGATTTATACACACACTCCTCAGGTCAAATGTACGCTCATCCATCGTACATACCTGCAGTTATGATCAATGTTAATTAAGCATGTGTGCATTTTTTTCTTTTTGCCTCTACATACTTTTTATGAGATACCAGAATTATTTTTTCCTGTTCCTGTTTCCTTTTTGCCTCTACATACTTTTTATGAGATACCAGAATTATTTTTTCCTGTTGCATTCTCATTTGTGTTAAATTCTAGTTTGAAGTGCAATTTTTTACTTTCTAAAAGAGAAAAAGATGCCTAGTTCCATTATCAACTAGTTCATTTTTCAAATTAAGCAAAGATAGGATATATACAGATATATACAATACATAAGAAGAGATCATGCATATGTAACACGAAACATCTATCCTCTACCTAATCAACTAACTAACTCATTCTTCAAATTAAGCAAATGATTTATGATAATGTTTCTTCTTCTTTCAATTTATAGTCACAAATAAGAGCTGCATTGGTATAATGAGAAAGTTATTAATGATGTTACAATGTGAAGATATGGATAGCGAGACTGGTGTAACTAATTGTTGTTTTTATTGTAGATTTTTTGACAAACGAGTTATTGGTGATAGGTTTATTTAGAGGAGCAAGCAGATGAATCATATTTAATCGTTCATCTTTTTTCAAACTGAAATCATCTCTGCCCTACGTAGAGTTCGTATGATACAGTGCTCGTTGATTCCATTCAACAAGTTTCTAAGAAAGTCAAGTCTCTGGCTGATGTCCTCATTGGCAAGATGAAGTTCGTGTATTCGCTTGCATTTTCATCATTTTCGGCTGGCGTTTATCTTTATGGTGTGATAGATTTCAAAATAATTATGATTGTTACCATCATCAGCAGCATCATGGTCCGGAGAAATTATTTCAAAGTTTCATTATTGATCATTCTAAAATTATGAATTATCTCTTGATGGTTGAGCTTGAGATTATTATGTGTAATGAGTTTGTAATGAAAGTTTCTATATTTATATACACTCTGAAACGTGTTGCTCTAGCTGGCTATTTGACAAAAATTTTCACTGAGGCATAAGGTCCTCCCAATTATTTTGCTTTGAAATTATTTAAAACTGATATCATAGATGGTTTTATTTCTTGAGAGAATATGACAGTGAGATACAGTAGAGGAATTAGTGTAACGAAGACAAGATGATAATTATTTATATCGACAAGGAAGGCTATAAAATTATTAAATCGTTGAATCACTGAAACCACCAACAGAGATGATGATGATGATGTTTCGGAAGGCGACGACAGCGCGACAGCCACCGCCACAACGACAGCAACAACGTCGTCTTCGACACCGGCTGGCAGCAACAATAATGGCAGCGTTTCTGTGAGGGGTCAGGTCGGCCAACTAACCCTGGGCCCTTCATCTCTCTTGCAGAATGCAAATCCAGAACTTGCTGCTATACTAGACAATCTCAAGAAAACAGAATTACATCTCCAGAGTTCGTTTTTTTTATTCAGTAATTTTTTTGTTTGTTCTTTTTTGTGCTAGTGTAATGTTTTACTTTGTACTGATTTAACATTTAACTTTGAATTTAGAGTCATGTTATTTATGTTACTGTCAATATTTTCAGTTTTGTTACTTTCTTCATATTATTATTTATTCCAACAGAAGTACACAAGACACTGTTTCACGTAACGGAAGATATGACGTCATCTGGTCCACTTCCCTTCAGTCCACAGCTCGCTAAGAAATCTGGATTCATACCCATCGACAAACCACCTAAATGTAAAATTTTGTTCCGCTTCATTACGTCGTTTGTTCGTTTCACTGTTGATATATTGTGTTGAATTTATTTCCTTGAAAATGTTTTGGACTGGCTGAGTTAGGCTCACTTTGATTTGCTTTTTGTTATTCGTTAAATTTATTAGAGTTGGATGATGACGAAAGATTTTATTCAATATTTTGTAAAAAAAAATTATTTTTCTTTTTCTTTTCAATGCCTCAAGTTTCTGACTGTGAGAAAAGCGGTGTGGGCAATGGAGCTGGTTCGTCACATTCGGGAACATTCACTCGATCAAGGAATTCCAGCAACAACAACATGCCCAGCAAACCAACAAAATCATCTCCGCCGCCATCGTCGTCGATGACGTCATTACATCATCCTCTCTCAACGACATCATCATCTCTATTGCATCACGTCTCGTCGTCGTCATCAACGTTTAAATCGCCTCAAACGACTGGAGTATATAAGAAGCGCTCGGCATCTGCTTCAAACAGAAACAAGAAATCTCCACAGCTATCATCGAGGAACAATCCTTTGAGTGGCGATGAGTATTATTGATGAGGCTGATGATTTTGATGAGACATTGATGAAACATTGATATTGTTGCTAATAGCTGAATGGTAGTCAATTCTAATGGTATTAATTAAAAGTGAAACAAAAAAATTGCAACCATGCCAAAATCGGTGTCGTCGTCGTCTGTCTAGTTAGGAAGTGCAACTTGTTCCGTCGGGTTTTCTTTGACGCTTGTGTGATACGATGCATATGCTTCTATCTATCTGTCGTGCTGACTCGTGTATCCTATTTCTTCACTTTCTAAATTTACTTCAACACTTTTTCAACTTTTCATTCGTAAAATTAATTATTTCGTTCATTTTTATTTGATTTTTAAAATTCAGATTCAAAAATTTGTTTTACATTACAGAATTTGTTCATATATTTACTATTTTAAATTATATATATATATATATGCATGTGTGTGTATAATCTTTGCATACAGTCAATTGTTATTAGTCACAATGGTATTTTTCGTTAATTTCTGAATAATTTAATATATCTTTCAGCTATTTTTTGTAACATGGTTCAATTATATTTCATAATCCATTCTTCTCTATTTCTCAAAATTATATTATTAATAAATTTGTTATTTTAAAAAGAGCTCTTTTCATAGCAACATAACATACTCCATTAACATACTCCATCATTCAATCTACCAGCCCATCAGGTAGACGAACACATCAGCCAACAACTTATTTCTAAATTTTCAATTCTAGTGCATTATTACATTATATTTCAATATATATTCCCTGTTACAAAAGGTTACTTACCATATTATTACGCTAAAATATTGAAATTTTCAATTTATGCTTAATAAATAAATCTTAACATCAAAAGACAAACGATTTCGTTCGTTAATCAAATAAATTCAGTAAATAGATTTATGTCGCGAGTTAACATTCACCACAATTAACAGAAGATTGTGATTGGAGTACGAGCTATTTGCAACGATCTATTAACAATATTCAATTATAATTAAAATTTTCGCCAGTAACGTGCCATTAAAAATTATAATTTAACAAAAAAAGTTGTTGTTAGGCCAGAACACTCATTGATTTAAATAAATATAATGTTATTATCAATTTTTTGGTTTATCACACGATGATATGCAAGAGATTGACGACGTGCTATACAACAAGATGGCAAAAGTTAAATAAATTGTCATAAATAAGGAAGGAAAGTTTGTTCAGCAGTTCATTTATATCCGATAGAAGAATTGAGTAAGCTTGGCAAATACATGTGGAAATAATTGGAAATGGACACAAATGATAAGCACTTAAAAGAATTAAACATAAAAAACCATGATGGAAAGCAATGTCATATGTTATTGTCATTCAACTTTTTGTATTCAACGAGGAATTCAGGATAGCACTGCGATTGATCGTAAACTATAAATTCTCTGAAGAGATATCTCGAGTGCTTCCTGAGGTTTTCGTTGATCTCACTAAGTTTAGCGGCTCGAGCGAAGACGCCAGTAGACGTCATGATGTCATCTCGTTCCTTCCTCAGGGAAATGCACTTTTGCATTCTTTCGTTGTAGCTGTTGGTGCCTAGGACGGAGTCACAGAGAGGATGTTGGTGGCAGGTGTCCGACTTGCACGATGCATCCATGCAGGGGGGTCGTTTGAAGGGCTGAGCTTTGTCGCAGCAATGTACGTTACCGAGAAAGACGCGAGTGACGAAGATACAGAATGGTGAGTCTGTCCAGTTTGACCCTGAGTCAGTTGAATCTGTTTGCCATGTGCAGAAATTATTTCTGACTGTTTAACACGTACATTTTATTAATAAAAATCCATCACATTATTGAAAAGAGCCAAGAAAACGATATCAACGTACAACCTCGCAGCAGGATTTTATAGGATTGAACGTACGCATTTTCAAATCCTGTTTTTCATAAATCTAACCTTGACCTTATACATAAAATAGTTTTATTAACTTATTTTCATTAGTGCGTTATCTTGATTTTTCAGCTTGCTAATAAGCTGCACGTTAACTAAACTTTTAGCATCAGTTAACTTAGACGGTCTGTTTATTGCGCGCTGATCTGGTTTGAACACAGCCAGCGCGAAACTCAAAGAATTCTCAACTGAAATAACAACTCCTCGACAGATAATTTGTGATAAGCTTTGTGATAGGCAGAGCAGCTTTGTGATAATTAAAAATATCAAACCGGCATAATAGTGAGCCTTCGTACAACTCTCCGCAAAATAAATTCCCTTGCCGAAGAGGGATGCAGTGCTTCCCAGCCTGAAGTCCAATCCCTGATCGACGATGGCCTGCTTGTTTGACCTGTCCGTCCCGTGGAAGAGGTAGCATTCGTTGATTTCATGTAACAATGTTGGCTCGTTGTCTGTGATTCCTAAAAAGACACAAATGTATATATATATATAAGCATCATTGATAAAAATCATGTTCCGCGTTAGTTAGCTTCATGTTTAATTTTTCGATTTTTCTAACAGTGGATCGTCTCTTGAGTTCTTGACCTGTTTCTTGACAATGATTTACGATCTATCGTTAGAAATATTAAATATGAAGCTAACTAATGCTGAACATGCTATGATTTTCATCAATAATTGCATTTCTGACAGTCTCAATCCAATAGCAGCATCAGTAAATAATGTCTGAAATGTTATAAAACCATGATATGGAATGCTCTGAACTAACGTCTGGTGTGCACACTTCGAGTTTGTTGAGACAGTCCTGATATCTTATCGTGGTTCTGAAGGCAGAACTCATTGATCTTCGTCATGTAGCGCTTGTACTGATACACGTTCTCCACTGCGTATATATTCTCTATCTTTATAGATTCCCTTTGAAATAATTTACAAAATTTGATTGTTAACGACTGCACGATTGTCAATAACGATGTCGATGAACTCCTCAAGCAACCATGTATAAGCCTTCAAACTCATGGTAAATTTAAGCTAAAAAACTATTTAGCGAACGAAGCTCATTGAAATTTAAAGTGGGGTAATAAATGAATGATCAGTGGAATGAAATTCATAAAAGAGAGACTTGGACGAGGAGTTGGCATCAAAAAGGAACGTTCCATCATCCGACCATGAATCATAAACCATGCAACTGATCAGATTGTACAGGGTGGATCTCTCATCCAATTTGTTCAACACGCCTGATGTGGAAGGAGCGTTTACTTAGTTCAAATAATTTAGCTTCCCTTTTAGAATTTGGCAAAATTATTTAATGACCTTTTGTATCGGAATGTGTTCTGAGTGAGCCTTGGTGAGAGATCCAGTGGGACGGAGCCAAAATGTCCTGGTGACCAAACAATCGAAAAAACTTGGAAGGGTTAGTCCTTCTCAATGGACTATCCAACGTTAGTATTGTGGGCTGAACTTCCTGAATATTAAAAATGGTGTTGCTTAAATATCATGAATGTATGTAATTTTTAAGTACAGAGTAAGCGAAATTAATTTGTTACTAAACGAAAAACTGAAAAGAAGTTTACTTCTTGATATAGGGGAACCTTCTTTAAATAGTTTAAAAAAAGATTGTTGACGATCGTTTCAACTTTGGAAACATACATCTTCCGGCCTTTCAATATTATCGACTCTGATTTCTCATCTGAAAATATTGAAATGCAACTTTAATAAAAACTGGCGCCGGCACAGATGTTCAACTCGTTTACAGAAATCGCATACACATCTGTTACATTGTAAGGTGTTTCTCAGTACAAAAAAATCAATGTTAATTTCTACCTGTAAACAACTCGAGAATCACAAATAAATTAATAATGTTTTAAAAACTAAACGTCGTTTAATATATTCTGTAATAATTTAACTTTTGAACACTCTTAGAACAATATTAAAAAACGTGAACGCACCAATATGAATAGAAACATTTTCATTGGCCTCCTTATTTATAGCTTGAAGCAACCTACTGTCCAGTGATTGAGTGTCACCTTCGAAACAAACATCTGCAGACTTTTTCAAGATGAACGAATAAGATATAGTCCTCTCATCAATCATTCTCATCAATGCCTTCGTCAACGTGTTTTCCATTGAGTTGATAGCGTTGTAACCACAAACACATTGAACTACGATGTCTGAACCTTTCAGAAATGAAAAAATTTTAAAACTTAAATAAATAGAAACATTATAAAACAAAACATGAACGCAGCTAAAATCAGTTACATAAAAAATTGTACGAATTCCTGAAACCTGTATCTCCAGCTTTCACGTCCAAAGCACATTTCTTATCTTTTTCCAGAGAAATCAGCAGAGATTTCAGAGGACTGTTATCTTCTTTGTAGAAGTTGTAAGTTATGCCTGAGGAAAAAATCTTTATACACTACAACAAGAAAAATAATTCTCGAAGCAATATATTATAAAAGTTTCATCATGCAAAAGTAAACCAAAAATAATTAGATCCACAGTATTAGATGGTTGAATGATTTAATTAACACAAACGTAAATGAAATGGAAAAATGTGATAATCTTTCAAACGCACCAGGAATAGAGAAATGGAAATCTTTCCTTATGAACGATGACATGGTCTCCTCAATAATTTTTTTCTTTTCGTTGCGGTTTACCTCACTGCCAAAAATCTCCAGGCAGGATTCAGTGAAGTTGTAGTGGATACTGTTGTTATTTCTGCACCAATTTATTAATACTATGTAACATCTTAATGTCCTTCAAGTTTGTCATTCAAGAAAACTGAGAATAAAAAATTTCTCAAATAGATTTTTATACTTGCAATTTGAAATATTTTTTTGGTTTTGGTTTTAAGAGAAAAATAAAGATGAATGTTTTCCACAAATGGCTGTCAAACAATCAAAAGGTCTTACACCACGTTAGGTAATCCCCGTTTCAAAAATCGAAACTCCAAGGATGACAGTTTGATGATCGTCTTCTTATTGGCAGCATTGTGATCAGCAGACTTTGTTACCCAATCAAAAGTGCAATCATTTTCAGTAGAATCGTCAAATTCCCTATCTTTATAAAAAAAATTTTATTTAGATTTAAAAAGTTGAATTTGTGCAGTTATTATTTGAGTGACGTAGATGAACAGTTTTACTTCTATCGTGAACTTTCTCGTCTTTATATTTCCACTTGTAATCCTCACTCCCGGCATCGCCGACGACAGAAACGATGGCGTTCCCCATGCTATCAACTTCTCTTCTGATTTCATCAACCGCTCTTTTGAAGCCCCTGTCACTCTTCAGACCTCCAACTGATATCAGAATGTTCTCTGGACACAACAAAACGAGTTAGGTTAACAATTAAAAAATTGCAAAAAATATTAGAAAATCTTAAATAAAAAGTTTGATTAACCTGAATCATCTGCATCAACGGTTACAGTCACTAAGAACTTTCTAGAAAGACCTGTCACAAATTTCTCCCACTTCGGTGTCGAAAAGTTATCAACTGGAAAGCTACACTGGTTTCCTTTAACGGTGATGTACCTGTCTTTATAATCTTCTTCCAACATCTTTGCCGTTTTTGTGGCGACTTCTTGGTTCTCCGCCAAGACGCTCAACGTACCAGACGCATTCAAGAATGGCACTGCCGGCACTTTGAACCAATCCAACAAATCAATCAATCCCCTGGTACAGCACGGAAAAATCAGTTGGTGTTGACACTGCAATGTATTTAGAAATGTTAACCTACTTACTTCCTAATCAGATTGTAATTTACAGAGCAGACATCAGCAAGATCACGAGGAAAGTTGACCTCACACGACACCGCGGACATCAGCAGTTCTTTTATGTGGTCAGCCACTTTTTGCAACTTCTCCTCGTCACTGGAATGACCAAGATGAATCTCAGGATTGGCTTTGGAAAATTATTTGTTCACAAGTCAAAATAAGATCGCAACTACAAAATATTTTGGTCAGCAAACTCTAGAATGTACAAAAACAAATGGACATACTAACATAAATCAATCCAAATCATCCAATCTGAACCAAACGTCTTTGTCAAAACCTTCAAAAATTTTCTAAGCAATTCTCTCTTCTCATTCCTCTGCTCATCCTCAACATACACAACCTGTAGAGTTAGTTTTAAACAGCCCATTTTAATATATATGAAAACAAAATTAGGATAATAACAAAACTATAAAAATAAATAAAGAAATACTTGACGACCATTTTAATGAGGCATTTATCAATTTTCGACTTGTAATCAGCACCCCTTTTAATAAGCTATGAAAATATTTGAACATTTATTAATTAAATATATGTGTGTGTATATATGTGAATGGCTAGTTAATTTATTTATTATAAGATATTGCTTTTACTTTATGGTTTTCATTCATTCATTCATTCATTCATTCATTCATTCATTCATTCATTCATTCATTCATTCATTCATTCATTCATTCATTCATTCATTCATTCATTCATTCATTCGCTCATTCAATTATTCGCTCATTCAATCATTCATTCGTTCGTTCGTTCGTTCACTAAATTAGTTTTCATTGATCTATTATAACATTCAATCATTCATTTAGTTATTTTTATGATTATATAATGATTAACAAATGTTTCAAAATAATGATGCCTTTAGCATAGAAATCAACAAAACATTATAACAAGAGTGGGCAAACTGCGGCCTTCAAAGCTATTTTGACCAAAAAAAGAGCCACAAATCTTAAAAAATTCTCCCACAGGTCAAAACAAATTGCTATTTAAGTACATATACGGCCCTTTCTAAAGTAAAACAGTTCTCAATGCGGCCCTCACAGCAAAATGTTTGCCCATCCCTGCATTATAAGAATGTAGTGACTATTCAAATAATTCCCACAAAGGAAAAGTACAATATGCATGACTCACCTTTTTGTTGTAAAATTCAAATGATGGTTGATGATTTTGATGCGGTTGTTGATGATGATGCTGATGACGATATTGCTGATAGTGATGTTGTTGTTGTTGCTGATGATGATGATGCTGTTGATGATGTAAAATTTGAGATTTGCTCATACGCCCCAAGTTCGTCCTTTGAAAATCTCCATCAAAATCAATATCAACAAGTTTGGTTGTCCTGGCCCTTCCTCTGTAGTGTTCAGATCTCTGACTTTCAGCTGAATGATCTCGGCTTTCTAACAATGGGAAAAAAGAAACACAATGAGACAAATTTTCATTATCTTAATTAATATAAAACAATCCAATAAACAACTAAATAAAAAAAAACATAAACAAACAAATGAGCAAAAATCTCTTTATTATTGCCCTTTCTCATCAGTAAATAAAAACAAATAAACACTAAACAGCAGCATAAAATAATGATGGTAACAGAGTCAAAAATATCAGTAAAATTATTAAGTGCAAACAACCACAGATGGCACAACTTACTGCTGCTATTATTAAAAGCTCTATGCCCATCTGATGTCTTCAAGTTGTTACTTTTATCATTCATATTTTTCCTTTGATGTTGCTGCCAATGTTGAGGCTTCCTCTGTCCCCTGGCTCTTTTTTTCAAAAGTTTGCCATCAGAAACTTTAAGGTTCTCTCCCAATATATCGGAGTGAGTTGCATTGATGTATATGTTTAGATCTTTGGGGGGAAAATACATTTAATTTTTCATTAATTGTGGTTAGTTGCTTCAAAAATTCAAACTAATAGTTAGTAACAAAGAGAATAGTATGTATGAGTAAAATAAATTTGGATATCTACAGACCGGCTACATCAGGAAGCTTAATAAATGCAAATTTTTTCTTCTTATCTAAATGTAGAACAGAGACAAAAAAATCTGCATCATCTGGCAAATTATTTGGATGAAACTTGGGTTGTTCAAAGTAGAGGACAATCTCATCCTCAGTTACATCTTCCCTCAAGTTTTTTACGTGTAGTCTCTTTATGATCTTCACTTCATCTACCTCAAGATGTGTGCCTTCATAAGGGGAATTCCTCAATATATCCATCATTTCCTCGACTCCTGATGACAAAAAAATTACAAAATTAGGAAAAGAATTTTTAAAACACTAAGCAGTATTATTAGATGACTCTATGTACAGAATGGTTATAAAGAAATGGCAAATTTTTTGAATAAAAATTTCAAAAATTGAAAGTAAAATGAAAACCTACCGATTGTGGCACTTGTGAAATGAGCAAAATGACTGATTCCCGAAGTTGTAACTTTTATATTATTTTCACTGGTAACCTTAATTAGCCATTCTCTCAACTTATGGCTTGTGATTTGTGATGGTCTGGGTATGTTCTGTCATCGGGTGAAGCGTTAGTAGGAAGTTATTAAAAGTGAATTCAAGTTTACTTTATCGGAGTATTTTCATTTACATTTCATTTACATTTTTTAAATATTAACCTATTAGCATTATTATTATTATTATTATTTTATACACTTACTCACATTTATTACAAGATTGTAGCTTTCTAATTCATTTTCACTGTCTTCAAAATCTTCATCTGATTTCTTAAAAATATATTAAAAATTTTTGTATATTTGAATTACTTGAAACAAATAAATGAAGCAACATTAAATATACTATAATAATACAAATACATAAATTTCAACAGTTTTAAATTTAATGATGTTGAAGTAACTTCATAAGACATGACACAAAAAGTAGAAATTGCTCATGCAACGGCACTGTGATATTAAATATGCTACATTTAAATTACATTCAAATAGATACATTATTAAAAAATTAAATCAATCATCTGCAACAGAACATTTAATGGATGACTATTGATAGCTATGTAAGTCACCAGTTAATATGTTACTGTGTAAGTAAGCAATGTAATGTAGAGTTCATCATGCATAACAATACATACACACAATATTATATAGTATTATTAGGTTAGCATTAGTGATACAATTAAATTAAAATATAAACCCAATTTTTTCTAATAATCTGGCCACAAATGCATAAATACAGCATAATTTTCATTTTGAATTTGAATTTTAAAAGCATTGAAATGATTGAATCAACCAAATGACAAAGTACAAAACTGCAAACAGCTGATGATTATCCAAACATCCATCCCCATGACATACCTTCATCTTGTTATTATTTTCTGCCATTTTATATGCTTTTCTTTAGTTTTTATTTTATTAAAAAATAGAATTAAATTTTTTATCTTCTCATCAATGATTATTTCTTGATTGTATTTTTGATTGACAAATGATAATTATTATTTTTATATTTGTTTTACTTTTAATATTTAATTAATAAACTTAATTGACGATTTCGATTACTATTTAATTTATTCGTGAATTAATCAGATCTTCATATAAATAATCTAATAAAAATCGTTTGTTAAATAACTTATTTTCCTGTAAACTCGAAATTACAAAACCGGTTTTCCCCAAGTAATATCTATTTATAGTCAACAGCAAAAAACCCAGGACTACAGAACCACGTGTCACTATACGCTGGTGATGACCATAATATTTTCATAACTGTAACAATTTAATATTATATGTTGTATTTTATGATTATATCCATGAACTATAACTATAACATTTACTGCCATATATATATATATATATATATATACATACATATATATACATATATATATATATATATATATATATATATATATATATATATATATATATATATATATGTGTGTGTGTGTGTTGGTAATAGACCATAATTTTTTAAATATTCTATAAATTCTACCGAATGTTTGGCGTTAATATGTTTGTAGTTCGTTTGTATATATATACATATATATATATATATATGTATATAGAGTATATACGTATTATATTCTTTTGTGTATATATTCTAGTTAAATGATATATGTTGTATTATATTATATATATTTATCATATATATTATATATTTATATGTGTGTGTGTTCACGCTCTTTAAAAAGGGTATATTTTAAAATTATTTTCCCGCCGATTACACGAAGGATATTAAATGAAAGTTAAACTGTTTTTGAGTAATTTTATAATATATATTTTTTATCACTTATTCATTATCCATTTAATTAATTTATTCATACATTTATTACATATTTTAGAACATCAATGACATCACCGATTTTCGAAAAAAAATCAGCCCCGTATGTCAGACAATCCGGAGTAGACCATGGATACATATATCTAAATATATTGATATATATATATATATATATATATATATATATATAGCCATGGAGGAGTTTGATCCATCCAGCTAGATGTATGATATACCTTGAACGAAATACTAGCACCATATCTTTTTCTTTATCATTTTCACCATATCTTTTTTTAATATAGATATTTTCATTGTAATTACTAAATATATACACATTTATCATTTACTTCAGCTTTGTTTGCTTATACGCTTTTATATTTAAGTCCAATTCCATTTAAATTAGGCTGACCGATACAGAAAGTGAAAAATAAAATATAAGAAAGCCCGAATTGACCATATAACTACAACGTACAAATTTAATCGATTCTAGAGTAATTAATAAGAAATTCCGGATAGCATTGGGATTGGTCGTAAACGATGAATTCCCTGAACAGAAGATTTCTCAACTGGTAGAGTTGTTCATTTACGGCTTTCAATGTGTTAGAAGACGCACTAGAGGTTGACAAATCATTTCTCAACTTCATCAATTGATTTCTTTTGGTTTGATCGTGCAAGAAAGTTTTCGTTCCCAAGACGGAATCACACAACGGATGTTGGTGGCAAGTTTCAGAGTGGCAGCCCTCCTGAGAACATGGCGGTCTCTTGAATGGATAGGGTTGTTCGCAGTTGTGCAGGCGTCCGAGAAAGACGCGAGACACAAACATCGATAGGACCTCGCCAGGAGCAGCTCTCTTACTTTTGTCATCTGCAAAAATCAAAGGCAAACACATATAGACAATAAGACAAATATTTCAAAGCAGATAAAAATGTTAAAAATGTTTCATATCAAACAATTTGTGTCAGACATGAATGAAATATTGGAAAAACGACAAAAAACGATAAACACGTCACATGTGAAAACAAACGGACAGATCAAATTGAGACCTGCATATTGATCGGCCTTAGTTGCGCTTTCAGCAAAGTATATTCCTTGGCCAAACAACGATTTGCTATTCCCCAGTCTGAAATCAAACCCCTGGTCGATGATGGCCTGAACTCTGTTCTTGTTCATGCCGTGGAAGAGGTAACACTCGTTGATTTCATGCAGTAACATGCTCGTATCGTCCGTTATGTCTACATGACAAATCATCGTCATAGTATGGTTAATTGACTGATCGACTGAAATTAATGAAATCGCTAACAATGACTTAAATAATATAATAGCACAGTAACATTTAATCTATCTTTCTAATTTTATTAAATTCTTTAAGTTTAAGATATAGAACTGACTTCTAGTAATGAGAGTTTGAGTTTGTTGAGACAGTCCTGATATCTTATCATGATTCTGAAGGCAGAACTCATTGATCTTCGTCATGTAGCGCTTGTACTGATACACGTTCTCCACTGCGTATATCTTCTCTATCTTTATATTTCTAAAAATAATTTACCCCGTGAAATAATCTTCAGCCAAAGTCTGAACTAAACTGACAGGAGCACTCACTTATGTTTCAGGTTATAGGCGTCCTTCCCAATGCCCACAACATCACTTCTCCAGGTACTGTCCACCATTAAGGAAATCAAATTGTACAGGGATGACGAGGAACTCAATTCATGCAAAGATCCTGTTTGGAAAGGAATTTTGTTCAGTTATCTACTGAATTGTTCGACTGGATTGTCCAGAAGCGAATGTATAAATGTCACTGGAGAACATTCTTAGTGAATATAGAGTATAAACCTGTATCATAATCAATGTTTAGTTATAAGTAAAATCGCATACGTTTAATGACATTACACAAAAAAGCCTGAGTTTTAAATTTCTATGAAAACAAAATTTTTGCCAAAGACAACTCAAACTAACTCAAACGAATGAATATGTAAAATTTTAAATACGTGGCTAGTATGACGATGACGATAAACCTTTATTATTAGAGTGCGTTCTGAGTGAGCCCTGGTGAGAGATCCAGTGGGAGGGAGTGTGTATATCCTGATGACCAAACAATTTCAAAAACTCTGACAGGTTAGTATCTCTAAGCGAGCTCTCCAATGTTAGTATTGTAGGCTGGACTTCCTATTAGATAAGATAAAAAATATGTATACATTTTTTTCTCTTATGCAGCTCTAGCAAATGTTGAACTTTTCCGATTAATACTCCATTTTCAAGTTTTCGTCTTTTTTCAATAACCAATTTTTCATTATAATAAATACTAGCTTAATGTTAAAAAATATAAAAAAAAATGGAAATAAGCCAAATACCTTTTTAGTGGTAGAAATATTTTTAAGATGTTCGAGAAACAAACTGTTGAGTGAGGATTCAGCTTCTTTTAAATAATGACACCTACCTCTGAGAACGATTTCTTCAGATAAATTATCTTTAAACAAAAATTTTCAAAAATCATTTAATAAAAATTAATATAGAAAAATTCATTCAAATGCATTTATTTAATAATTTACACACGACAAATGCACACTACAAACCTATTTCTACTGAAACATTTTTATTGGCCAACTGCGTGATATCAAATAGCAATGAGTCATGCAGAATTCTTTCAGTTTTTGAGCTCTGGTTGAGAATGAAGGAAAATGAAATCCTCTTCTCGTCAAAGAGAATATTCAGCTTGTCAATCAACGTTGATTCAAGAGAATCCAATATAACCGGTCCACAACATTCGACATTTAAAGACTTCTTGCTGTTGGCTTTTAATTCACTCCAAATATAATCAAAAAATAATTTCTCAAAAATTAATAGCTGACATATTTTTTTCAAAATAAAAAGTTCAATAAAACTAATCAAATTATTGGATAATACTGAAAGGTTCCAATTCATCAAAATAGCTAACAAGCAGAAGATGCCTTGACGTCAAACACACAAGACATTCTCTTGCCAATGTGGACTAGCAGCTCTCTGAAAGGACTGTTCTTCTCGTGGTAGAACTCAATTGTTAGGCCTTCAAATTTATTTCATCGTTGCTTTAATTTTCAATTATTCCTTTCCAATAAAACTCCGACAAATAAAAATCTACAATAATCTCATAAAAATTGAATTATAGCATTTTAAACATTTTGCGTTTAACACACGAATTGCCACGCAGGTGTAGAAACGCACGCCATCACATGCATAACATATCTGATAACTAGTTGAACGAATTATTAACAGATGAAAAAATTAACTGAATTATTTGAAAAAGTTAGTGAAACAATATCAAATTTTCTCCTTATATAATATAACGTAAGATAAGTTAAGTGAAACCAACATGGCAAGTCGAGAGGAATGACTTTTGAATGAAGTGAAGACAAAATGTCTTCAATCTTCGATCTTGTTCTCATGCATTCTTCTTCTGCATTTGCACTGATCTCCAGGCAGCCGTCATGCATCAGATACTTTGTGTTCTTGTTTCTAGGATAGGTTTAAGCGTTTTTTTACTTTGATATTTACGTAAAATAAAATTTTAACATCAGAATTGAACTATAGTTCTTGTTCATAATTAAAGTTGACACGGGAGTTTTTCGTCATTATACAACAACTCGCAACCAATAATGATAATCTGGCAGTTGGTAACTCCTTTTACAAAAGATGATAAATGTACCATGTCAATGTTGCTGTTGCTTCCAAGTAAAGTTTATTAGTGAAAAAATATGATAGATAAATAGATAGATCAGTGCCAGTCTAAAATCGCATATTAATATAAAAATGGAATTTATAAAAGAATTGCAGATCTATCTACACAAGTGAAAGCGTTAAATTAGGATCTGAGATGAAGAATTAGTAAAAAAACGAGTGAAAAAATATTTTCAGACTGACAGAAAAAATATGCATTAGCTTAAAAATTCGGCAATCACTAACATGAGGTCGGGATATTCTTGTTTGAGAAACTGAAACTTCAGCACGGAGAGTTGAACGGATGTTTTGCTTCTTTGATTGGAAGCAAGTTGTTTGCTTGTTGAGTTGTGTGCTTTTAAAGTCTTACCATGTTGTTCAGTCATGTTTAATTTATCGTTATCAGCGGAAATTAAGTTCATTAAATCTAAGAATTGACTGCTTTCTCTTGCTTTGAAATCGCCGGTTGAAAATTGCTTTTTGTCAGAATAAGGTATAGGATCATAATAATTATTATTTGTAACAATGCAACCATCCAACTTGGAAACAAATTCTTCTACACTGCCGTGTGCTATCTCAAATCCAACGTAACTCTTGAAGCCGGATATAAAAATGTTCGTATCTGATAAAACAATACATAAATATATAACATATAATAAACTTAAAAAAAATAAAAATTGTTCACTGTGGATATATAACACACCAAAATAAAATAATGGCGCATCCTAAATACAAATTTCTTAAGAAAAAAGGTCACCAAAATGAACCTTCTGATTGTCTGTGTGGAATTGAAGATTCAGAGCAGGAAACGTAAGTGAAGTAGTTGTAGCTAATGTAATGCACAAGCTCTAACCAGGGTGCATCGTTGAAATAATGCTGCAGTGCATTCTTATTACATGAACTTACATTCAACACTATTGTCGTGAAATCATCCTCCAACAACTTTGCTCCTAACTTCGCCGATTGTTCATTCCTCCCAACCACAAATAACTTATCTGGAGTTGGTTTGAATGCAATCACCTTCTGACCATGCTGCTCAAAAAAATTTTGCAGCCATCTGTGGAAAAAATTAATCTTATACAATCGAAGTAAATGGTTATTTAAATTAAGGAACACGTTAAAATGATGGCTAAAAATTGATAACTAAACTAAATCAAAATAAAAACCTGAAAAATTTGGCATCAACTATTAATTTAACTAAACATAAAGGTATGTCAACTTCACATGAAGCTGAATATGAGAGAATGTCGTTGATGTAAGTTGAGACACGCCGCAGATTGACGCTACTGTCATGACTGCCAACTCCAATTTTGTGATCCACTATATAACAAATGTTTTTTGAAGAAAGAAAAATTTTAATCGCCTATAGAATAAATAATAATAATAATGATAATAATAATAATACAATTTTAAATTCAATTCAGTAAACCGACTCTTATCAATCCATACAACGAGATTGTATCCAAACTGATGCCTCATATCTCCAATGATCAGTTTCATCAACTTTCTCTTTTCCTCGTGCAATTCATCTTTTATCTCAATCAGCTAAACACGAACGTTATTGTAAAAAAGTAATGAAAAAAAAAGAATTTTCTGACTTAAAAAAATTTATATTTAACGAAAAATATACGAATTGTTAATAAAGTTGAAACGGAAAAAAATAAAAACACGACAGAAGCAGGCTTCAAATAACCATTTTCATTGGGCAACTTTTCCACATTTCTTCATGGTTTTTTATCTGAAATAAACAAAATCAATCATCAACCAACCAGTCAGCCGGTCAATCTATCAAACAAACAACCAACCAACTATCCAGCCAACAAGCAATCAGTTAATCAATTAGCCAGCCATTCAACCATACAATCAGCTAACCAATCAATCGATCGATAATAATAAACATACCAATCGAGCGTCAGTCAAGTCAATCAATCATTCAAGCAATTCGCCAACACACGCATAAACTATTTTTTCAATTAATCTACTACTAATTCGTCAATATAAAAATAAAAACGTCTTTAGTGACGTCATTTTATATGCTGCTAAAAATAATTACGATGACATCACGATTGCTGTCATTAAATTGATCATTCAACTGTAGTACTGACGATAATTTCGTTGGATTGGTTACTTGCATTTGTCACACTTGTCTGACCTAAACATTTTCAGAACATAATTTTAATTATAATAAATTAATTAGTGTGGAAAAAATTATATTGCAGATTAGGAACTGTTGTGTAAATAAATAATTTCAATAAATACATTAATGTAATGTACACGAATATAATGAGAAGTAATGGGATTCTCTCTCGCTCTCTCTCTCTCTCCTCTCTCTTTGAACTACCCAGCCAGACAATAGCATGTCAGTGTGTGTGAAGTAAATACATGCGAACAGTCAGACGTATTTAACCAATACACTATCTAACAAAAGCCCAAGATGAAATATGAAATGTAATTTGAAACACGTGTTAACGTTCTTGTTTGGATCCTCTATTGTTTCTTCCAGCTCCATGTAGGTGACTGTTTGAAGATGTACTGGAAATATTACTATCAACCGATTGAACTCGACCTAGAAAATGATAAATTATGAATATGGAAAATATTATTATAGAGGAATAGTGATTTACGAAAAATCTGAATAAAATATTAAATGAAATAAATAAATCAGAAAATTTAGAATTAGGTAGATTATAAATATTAACTTCTGTCTTTCTGTTTTACATTCTGTTGTTGTTTAATTGGTTGCTGTTTCGGTTGTGGCTGTGGTTTTTGTGGCTGTTGTAGCGTATGCTTTTGTGGTTGCTGCGGCTCGGTTGATTTTTTTGGTTGTGTTGGATGATGTGTTGGACGCTGTTGTTGTTCAGTTTGTTGCTGTGGCTGTTTTGGTTGTAGCTGTTGTGGTAGTTTTTGTGGCTGTTGTGGTGGTTTTTGTGGCTGTTGTGGTGGTTTTTGTGGCTGTTGTAGCGTATGCTTTTGTGGTTGCATCTGCTCGGTTGATTTTTGTGGTTGTATTGGATGACGTGTTGGATGCTGGTGTTGTTGTGCTGGTTCTTGGGATTTGACTTTTGCACTGTGAAGACGTTCTGATGGCTTTTGTTTGGAACTTTTAAGATGTAAAAATTGTTTGGAATTCTCATCTTTACTATTGTTGTTGTTTTTTTTGTTATTATCATTCTCCTTAACTATAATTCCATCTCCAAGCAGGTCAGTATGATTGGCATTCACATAAATGTCTATATCTTGAATGAGTTTGAATTAAAATTCTTTTCAGCAGAAATTTTATAATTTCAAAATTAAATATTTTTTTGAAATATTTGTGTATATGCCCGACTATAAATACCAAACTAAACAAAAAAAAATTAGATATATAATAAAATATATACAAGTGTGTGTTTGGTGTGTGTGTGTTTGTTTGTGCGTGGGTTTGTGTGTGTTTTTGTTGTATGTATACCTGCAATATCAGGCAGGTTAATTATTGCAAAGCGTCTTGTAGTATCCAGATGTCCAACTCTAACAATGAACTGTTCTAATTCATAATCAGATGCTGATTGGGGGTGAAACTTTGCCTGCTCCAGATAAAGGACAATTTCATCCTCGGTTACATTTTCTCTCAGATTTCCAATGTAGAGACGTTTTTTAGTTGGTTTTGATTTTTGTTCATTCTTGACATTAATGTTCATTGACATTTTTATTTCTACCAGAATCTTGGTTGATGGAAGGCAAACTTACTTTTTAAAAACTAGCAAGTAGTAAGTAACAGTAACTTTGCCTGTCATCAAAATTGAACAAAATATATTAAATTTAAATTAAATAACAAACAAAATTAATTAATTTTTATTTCAATCATTCATTAAATTAATCAATTAATTAATTAAAATAAAATTATTTAAATAATTTGAGAAAAGTGAAGCCCAGGACACCTCATGAAGATCAAGAATGAATTTTATCTAAATAAAAAGACAGAATGAGAAATTTTCTGTAAGATTTTTACAATATTTACCTCTTACAATCTCTGAATACGGGATTCTCGTAATGGTGTAATGGTTTTTTTTAAAAGATAGAACGCAACTTGTTCGTTCAATAATGAACTAAAAAGTGAGCTAAAAATAAATATGCGGAATTCCATTTTATTTTAAGGAGTCCTAATTGAAATGTACCGTTAGCAACATGCTACATTTTAAGAAGTGCAACAGATTTGTTCGTTTGATCAGCCAAAGGTAACAGTTTTTTAAATTCATTATTTTAATTTTACATTTTACCTCGACAAAATTAACTTTAAAAAAATTCACTATTTACTGGTTGCTTGCTGTCTTTTTAAAATTTAAATTAATAAAAATTTTAGTGAAATTCATTGGATCCTTCAAACAACTTGACTTTTTTTTCAAACCTGATTAAATTGTTTAGTCTTCAGGTTCGATTGTTCAGCAATGTCAAAATTAAGAAGGGGACAATCAATAAAACAAGTTAGTGCTAAAAAAGTAAAGTAAGTTAATTTTTATATGTAAAAAGTAAAACAATAAAACAAAAAAGGTAAAACAATTTAATTTAAAATTTTAATTCTATTAAGAATTTTAATTTTAAATTTATTATCAACCAAATCAATTAATAAATTAATAATTTAGGAAGTGAGCTGTGTTTAAATAGATTATTAATTAACTAATAACCTATTTGATTCAATATTCATCAAATTTAATTTAAATATCAATTTTATAACTCAGCAAATTTTTATATTTATTTTTCATATTACTTTTTTTAGCACTTTTTAGCTGTTAAAATTAATTCTAAATATCTAATAACCACAACAATGGAAAGACAAATGCCATCCAGCCAAAACTTCCAGCACATTCGATGCCAGCAAGATAAGAAATGTTGGAATCATTGCCCACATCGATGCAGGCAAGACTACTACAACTGAAAGAATGCTTTATTATTCTGGTGCTAATTCGACTATAGGTATATCAAAAAAAATTTTCTCATGTTTTTTTTTAAATGTCGGTATTTTAAATTGTATTCTTTTTATTGCATTGCTGTTGAAATTTTTAATTGTTTTCTAATTAATCGTATTTTCAATTTTATTTTAGTTAAAATTAATCCTTAATCTAGGATTTTTATGGTGGATTGTAATGTTCTTATAAAAAATTGGTTAACTCTATTCTATTTTAATAAAATTAAATTATAAATAGCTATGAATACTTCTCAGTTGGAATGTTTTTTTTGAACTTGAAGGAAATGTGAACGATGGAAACACAGTGACCGATTTTTTAGAGCAGGAGAGAGAAAGAGGCATCACGATCATGTCAGCAGTTGTTCATTTTATGTGGAAGGGTCATAGAATCAATCTGGTTGATACTCCTGGTTTAAATTTTTTTTTCTGGTTATAAAATTTCCTATCATTTTTTACCTTCCAGATTTCTAACTTTTACTCTATCTTATATAGCCAGTGTTATGATTAATGTTAAAGCTGTCAATTTTGAGCAGTTTTGAAATTATTTTATCACTGAAACAGGCCATATTGATTTCACATGTGAGGTTGAATCATCTCTCCGAGTCTTGGATGGCGCTGTTTTGGTGTTGGATGCTTCTGCTGGTAAACATTTTTTGGCACCATTTTCTGTTTTGTTCAAATTCTATTATATTTTGATATTTTATCAGATTTGTTTTATTTCATTTCTTATTCATTTTGTTAACAGGTGTTGAGGCTCAAACACTGAGCACATGGAAGCAGGCGCTGAAATACAGAATTCCTCAAATTGCTTTTATAAACAAAATGGACAAGGCTGGAGCAAGTTTCTCCAAATCAATAAAATCAATTTCAGATAAACTAGGTCGAATGCCACTACCAATTCAGCTGCCTATCATATCAGCAAGTGACAATTCTTTCAATGGAGTCGTTGATCTCATTCACATGAAAAAACTAATTTGGAATATCGATGGAGATGGGAAGTTTTATGAAAATATTAAATTGGATTCCAAATTAGATGGGGATTTATTTGACATGGCTTCTTCAGAAAGAGATCAAATGCTTGAAACGTTAGTGAACGTGGACGAAGAACTTGGGGAAATATACATCAGAGACTCACATCTCACAAATTTGACTCCTGATCATTTGAACCAGGCTATCAGAAGGGCCACCCTCAACTGTCAAGTCCTTCCCGTTCTCTGCGGCAGTTCGTTAAGAAACAAGGCTGTTCAACCCCTGCTTGATTCCATCCTGACCTACTTACCTGACCCAATTGAACACAATCTGATTGGTGACCTTCAAGATGACGGTGTTAACAACGTTGACGGAACAATGGCGCTTGCTTTCAAAATTATGCACAACAAGCGCAGGGAACCAATCACATTTCTGAGGATTTATTCTGGCCATTTGAGTTCAGGTTTTATATCTCTATCTATATTTACTATTTTTTAGCGTTTGTTGTCGTTAATATTTATAACTTAAATGGCGATTATCGTTTTTTATACTACTGCTATTTTAAACATAGACTGATATCACAGTGTCGATATGATTATTGGTATTATAACTAGGCCTGTCCCTATTTAATGCAACGAAAAACTGCAAGGAGAAGATCGACAAGATGTTCCAGATAAACGCAGATGAGTACGAATACATCGGCAATGAGTCCAGGGGGAACATTGTGGCTGTCACTGGCTTCAAGGAGGTTCATTTTTTATTTCGTTTGTAGGGTTCATTCTTCTCTTCACTCATGTGTTCGTGTGTGTGTATGTTCTCATGCTTTTTTAATTGCGTTTCTTTTCATTCTTTTATATAAGCTGTAATATTTTCATGCATCTATAAAATTTGATAAAAATTCGTTCTTAAATGTTTTCCTCAGACGACAACTGGCGATGTCTTGTGCAGTGCTCAGCTACCATCGTCTTCATCATCACTTTTTGATGTACTCACGATTCAAGTTCCGGATCCTGTTTATTTTTGTTCCGTGGAGCCGCCATCACTTTCCGTGCAAAAAGATTTCGACACTGCCCTTGAGTGTTTGGCCAGGGAAGATCCCAGCCTCAAGGTCAATGTCGATTCGAGCACAGGTCAGACTGTTCTTGGTGGCATGGGGCAACTGCATTTGGAGATAGTCAAGAGTCGAATATTTACGGTAAGTCACTGATAAATGAGAAATTTCTTCTTTCTGATAGATGATTGTGATGTGGGGATGATGTTTTTATTTTTGATTATTTTAAAAATATTTGTATAATAATTTAGTAGAAATATTTGTGTGGTGATTCATTTGAATTCTTTTCAAGGAGTATGGCATTGATGCCGATTTAGGTCCATTACAAATCGCCTACAAAGAAACGTTGACGAGCACCAAGAAGGTTAAGACAGTTTTTGAGAAGACGATTGGTGAATCAAGATATCGTGTTGAAATGATGGCCACGTTTCATCCAGTTCATGAATCAGAAGAATCAGACAGTGCAACAAAATCAAATAAGAAAAAATCGTTATTCAGCATTTTGCCAAATCCCGACTCAGCGTTGGCTAAATATGGACTGAGGCCAAATTACGTGAAAGCAATCGAGGATGGATTGATGTCAGGGTTCTCAAAAGGTATCTCGCTCGCAGAATAATTTTTCTCCATACATCTAAATAAGATAAATAATATTGATAACTTTAAATAAGTTAACGTTATTAGTAATCTAAAACTAGCAATCCCATATAAGATACCCACTTGTGCACATGTATGTATACGAATGACAAGTGTACATACACACACATCACACACACACACTCACTTGTATGTTTAAACATAAAGGTCCTTTGTTAGGTTATCCTCTATCAAACATTCGCATGGAGCTGAATGAGTTTGTGACAAGCAGTAGGGCCACGATGGCCATCATCAGCTCCTCTGTGACTCACTGCGTTCGCGAGGCTCTCAAGAAAGATGATGTCCAACTGCTTCAGCCCATCATGAATGTTCAAGTTGGTGCTGCTGCTGCTGAATATGATAGTAATTTTAAGATGGTTGTGGGGATAGTTTCGAAATGGTATTATGATATTGATGGTTTTAACAGGCTTATTCTGGTGTTGGTGGTGTTACAGAATGATGACGATAATGCAATGATGTGGCGATAAAACGGATTGAATTCGGTTCTCAAAAACAAAATCCTGCTTTGTTGCAGTTTTAAAATTGATTGTCCCACCATCAATATTATTTCAAAATCTTTGCAAAGGTATTTACGACTCCGGACCATCTCGGCACCGTACTTTCAGACCTGGCGCAGCGGGAAAGCCACATTCTGAGCGTCAACAAAGAGGACGATAGCTGCCACAATGCTTCCACTGTGCTCGCGCGTACGCCACTATCTCGTTTGGAAGATTTTTCATCGGCACTTCGAACGAAGACTTCTGGGATGGCTTCCTTCAACATGAATCTCAGTTCTTATGATGTTGTTTCCGACAAATTACTGACTACTCTTTTAAACAATTAATGTATTTTAATATTATTACTGTTTTGTCATTATGTCTATGTCGTTTTTGCAAAATATTCTCTCCGATCGTGTTGATTTTAATTGCGTTACATTGTCATGAATAAAACTTGTTGAACTAACCAATTTGTAATTTTTATTCCTTTTCAGTTGACGTTCTGATTTCTCACTCATAGTTCGTTCAGAGTTGTTTGAAACTGCTGAGCAGTTTGCGTGTGCTTGCCTCCACTTCCCTCCGGCGCCCGACGGACATGTTTCAGTTGTAAGCAGCCACGTAGAGTAGAAGCTGTTAGGCACGTGACCTGCTAACAAATTACGACAACTGGAAGTGACACACGCACTCACGCACGCACGCACGCACAGAACACTACTTCCGAATGCGACGTACAACCGCTAATTATAAATTTATGTAATCGTACACGCGCGCATCCTTTCGACCGGTCAGCTCAATATTAACACTAATGATACGTACGACCTACCTGCCTTTCTTTTCCGCCATATTTGTTATTTTTATGATTTTCGGCCAGCGCTCGCTGGTGACGTCAGCAAGGGTAATAATGATAACGATGACGATGATGGGGAGGAGGAGGAAAATGATAAATGAATCTTGACGATATGTTAATGTAACTCTCGGTTTTCGTAAGTTTGTTCGTGTGTGCCCATTGAATGTTCGCGTTTACGTGTACGTGCAAATGTTTTCGTATGTGTTTCTATTGTGCGCTTATCGTCACGTCTCTGCTTTAATTTATGTGTACGTGAGCTGATGTGTGCGTGCGTGTGTGTGTGTGTGTGTGTGTTTTGACGTTGCTCGTGGACCACCAAATTATCGTTTCAATCGAGAGTGAAGTAAATTTTTCGAATTTTTACATTTCAATGTTGATGAATTGTTGTATCTGTGTTCGTAAAGTTTATTTAGTCAAAATTAACTTCATTTCATATTTTCGTGATGTTTTTTTTAAATCCTGCAATATAGACTCCATAAATAATTCAACACCAAATATTTGTTTATATATACATTTCAATGAATTTGTGAAAAAATGTACATAATCATATGAGCCTGGTAAATTATACTAACCAGTCACATACAATTTTCATTGGTCGAATACTTCCACGGAGACAGCCAATCACGAGTCTTCTTTGTTTCAGTGACTAACCAATGATGAACGCTGCATTGAAATGGACATGTCTGTATTAAAAGTCTTTATAGAGAGGCTTCATTGAATGTTATCAATGGACAAAAGCTCATTGAAATTTGCTCTGTTGTGGTGAATAACTCTGCTGCATTCATTTCTACTATTGAAAAATAACTTTTCAATGGAATTTCTAAGTTTTTTGAAATTTCGGGCTGCGCTATTGGCTTTGAAATGCTGCCATTTCTGTCGAAAGAACGTTCCGAAACCATTGTTTGTTTTGTGTGTATAGGGCGATTACGTTGGCTGGTTCTGAAAAGGTTCGTCAAATAAATAATAAAAGTGAAGATAATTAAAATAAAAATGTTTCCATACGAATGTTCGTCTTCATATTGCTCCATGCACCTCTCCAATCATTCACAACAGAGTTTCCAGAACATTGATTCAAATCACCAATACATGCACAACCATCAATATGCTGACGGTGCCAGCAGCGTCATAATGACGACCATTAAAAATTCTCCGACCGATCCTATCTCTTATAAAAACGAGAGAGATTCGATTTCTGTCTCAAACGTTTCACACGTCTCACCAACAAAGCGACAACAAACCACCAATGACGTACACAACAACTTCCGTTATTTCTACCAGCAGAACAACTTCTGTTACGAAGACGACAGTTTCCGAAAGTTGATTGATGAATCGAGAAACGACGACGACGACAATGAGTTAAAATTTAAAAACGAAATTCCGAGTGGCAAAATTTTGAAAAAATCACTTGCAGATGACAAACAAAATAATTCAACCATTACTTCATACTACGCTAACAACAACAGCAACAACATTCTTAGTTACATTTCAAGTAACAGCCAGCATAATTCTAATCATGAGGACATCAGTGCGAACAAGTCAAACAATTCAGACAACAAAACCGACCACAAGCATACAACAGCCGGCAGAGAACCGACCCAATTGAACCCCATAAAAACAGAACTAACCGCTAAAGTGAAACGACCGATGAATGCATTCATGGTCTGGTCGCGTCGACGTCGAAGGGACGTAGCCAGAGAATTCCCAAAAATGCATAACTCTGAAATCTCGAAAAGACTTGGAGCCGAGTGGAAGTCCTTAGAAGAATCTGAAAAGACTCCTTATATCGACGAGGCGAAGAGATTGCGTGCCAGTCATCAGAGGGACCACCCAGACTACAAGTACAGACCGCGACGTAAGATCAACAAAAACAGCCTCAAACAACCAAACCTTTCTTCAAACGACAACAGCATGAATTATTTTGTGTACGACGGTAATAACAACAGCAATAACATCCACAACGTAATTAACAATAACGAGTGCATCAACAGAGATGACGACATCGTCAGCAGTGGGATGTGTTATTATCCCAATAACAACTACGGATTAATCCCAGGAAATGAACATAAAATTAAAATTCCGGATAGAGTTGAATACGAGAATGTTAACGCATATTTCTCCGTACCATTCAACCAGCAAAGCTACGGACTCAACCTCTACAATAATTACTCCTTATATGGCAACGATGCTCTACTAAGCAACAAAAATATGAATTGCACCTCCTCTCACCAACTCTACACTCAGCAGCAACATCAACAACAACATCAACAATTTCTACCGCAACAACAACTTCAGAGGCAACAAGATTATTTCAACTACAATCCCGTTCCTAACTTCGACACAAAACAAACAGCAGCAGCAACAAATTTTTTTCTCGATAACTTCCCTCAACCGATCCAACATCACCAACAGATACGATATCCGGCAAATTCGAAGTCGTCAAAATTCGGCAACCACATCATCATCAACGGTTGCAACAACAACATCAACGATAACAACATAATCATCAACAACAACAATAACGTCAACAACAACAACATTAACATCAACTTGAGTATTCTGCATGACGCAACTTTTCAAGCTTCAATCACTGCTGCCGCCGCTTCTGCTACTACAATTTTAACAACCGCCGACCACAACACTGATGGAAATGATGATAGTGACGCAAACGATGATGACGACGACGATGATGACGATGACGCAACATTGGAAACGCCATATCAGACATAAAAATAGCTTTGGCAAAACATTCGATCAACGTAAACACGCTGAGACAGACATACGTAGATGAATTTAGAATCACAGGAACACGCAAACTGAACGCAGACAAAAGCAAGACACACACAAACACACACACACACACACAATTCTTTAGACACCTCCCAGCAAGTCACACTACAATTTGATTTTCGCGTTTTGTATGACAACTGCAACATACAAATTCACTCACGTACGCTCACCTAGGTATTTCTATCTATGATCGGCTATATACACACACACTATATACACATTTATGTATATACACATCTATACTATATATATATATATATATATAGAGAGAGAGAGAGAGAGAGAGAGAGAATGAGAAAGAGAAAGAGAGAGGCCCATTGGGATGACATGTTTTTAGAATATAAAAGTGATTGACGAAAATGTTGTGAACGACGATTCACGTAAATGTGTGTTACTGTCTAGATCTGCTTCTTGCGTAATGGTACGTGTGTGTGTGTGTGTATGTGTGCGTGTGTGTGCATGTGTGTATGTGCGCGTGTATATACGCATACATCATGCTTTTACATATGCGTGAGTTTTTTTTCTACTTTCTTACACATTCTTATATCTTTTTGTATATGTATATGACAAAATTCAGCGCATATCTTGTGCTATGAATCTCTTAGCTTTTCATTTATTTCTCTTCTCTAGACCAGACAGGCAATCCTTGTTGAACGTTGAGAATTTCATTACTTAACGCATCAAACATTCTACTGAGGTCGCCAACAGTACATTCACTAGCTAGTAACTTTTAACTACTTACATTTCTGTCTGTGGCACGGGTACTGTTGGCTCGGTTAGGCAAGTTTCAGCGTTCCAACTTTGTTTATTTCCTATCAGTACAAGATCTGAAATGTAAATCTGTAGTTGAAATTTGAAAATACGCATAGACTAGCACAATGGTGCACACACACACACACACACACACACACACACACACACACACAAACAAACAAATATAAGTAAAGTTTTGTGAGTTTGTGTGTCTGTTCATAAATCAAGCATTACGAAATCGTTACTTGTTACAAACGTACGCATACAAACATACGCATACAAACTCATGTACACGTATACAGAAATACACGCGTACACACAGATACAAATAAACACACGGAATTATCATCAGGTGTTCAAAGCATGACATATAACTTACATATACATATATACATATACACGTTTGTTTCGATAAGTAAAAGAGATACAAAACATTGGCAAAAACAACAACAGAAGCAACAACAATAATACAATAACAACGATAATAACAATAGGAATAACAACGATAATAATAACGATATAAACATTGATAATAATGATGACAACAGTAACAACAACAACATTTATGACAACGACGAAGATGACGTGAACAATGATGAATCCCATTTGCGTGACTGGTCTCTATTGTTCACAGCTTGCATTATCATCATCATCGTCGTCATCATCGTCACCATAGTCGTCATCATCATCACTATTATCATCTTTTTGTCATCATCACTTATATCATAACTATCTTTAAAATCACATCGAACATTTTGGGTGGAAATCTTCTCGAAACTTAAATGGAACGCTACTATCTCTGCTCTATCATATCTGTTATCATCATGAATATATATCCGTGGTTATCATTAATATCCACATTATCATCAACATCATTAACTATTATATTTGCGAATTTTTAACGATATTTCATGATCTCTGCTCTTAGCGTCTTCGTTTAATATATTTGTTACACCAACAACGATAATTCAATTAACAACATGAATAGTAAAAAATATCTTGAATGCGTTTGTTTAATGTAGAGGGCGGATTTAAGAAGGGGCTTGCAGGGCTACTGCCGCCCCCAAAGTTTCCACACAAATGCAACTCTCAGATTTTTTAATTTATATAGAGCCATTATACATCAAATACACTTACTCCAGTGGAAATCAGTTTGCAAAATATAATCATTGTTGAGTAAGATTTGAATTCAAATGATTTAAAATCGTTATTTAGCTACTTTATTGTTAATTTTGAATTAAAATTGAAACAATTCTAGATAGCCGATTTCGGTTTTTATTTCAGCAACTAAATAGAAAAATTATTGAAGAAAACACGCTAATTTTAATTTGATTAGCATTGTCGTTCTTTTTATATTAGTGTATTACATAGGTAGAAAATAAACTTTATACTAATGTGAATTATTGATATGATGAAGATGTACGGTTGAAACGGAAGGGTTTAACGTTAATTAGAATGTTCAGAAAACAAAGATGAAAAAATAAAATTATACAAAAAAAAACAAAAAAGCGTTAAAACATGTAAAGCACCAAAAACATGTTAAACCCCTTAAACTTATGAAAATAAAATTTGTAGGTAGGTGATATGAGTTAACTACTGTAGGCATGTCAGGGCTCTGGCTCTGAGAGTATTTTAATTGTAGGTAGGTGACTGACTACTATCCTTGCCGCTTTTTACTAATTTTTTGTGATGTGATTGTTTTCAACAGGCCAACAAAGCAAAATTTTCCCCGTCGTAAGGGGCTGCTAAATTTAGGGTTGAACTTGTCGAACTAAATGCTGTTACTATTTACTTTTTATCGGTACTTTTCATCACATGGATGTATTTGATTAAAATCCGAACTTTTAAAAAAAATGTTAAACGCCTCAAAATTTACAACACTTCAAATATCCATAAAAATATCCAGATTTTCCAAATCGTGTTGGTAACCTAACTAACCTAACTAAACTGAACCACTGAAGACTTGAGTCGAATTTTGTTACTTCGGCCAAAAAAATAATACAAATAACTATTTTTTCAAGTTATATATAACGGTTAAGTTAATATCTTGAATATAGTTTAATTACCCTATAATTTATTTATTTATTTAATTATTTAATTATTTATTTATTTAATCATTTACTGAGGAAAAACAAGCCAAATAATATGAAATAAAGAAAATGTACTGATTTGCAATCATAATTTAATAATAATCAAATACATGCAGATAAGAATAACAATAGCAATAAATATTTCAAATATTAATTAATTAATAAATAAATAAATTATAATAATTAATTAATTAATAACAATATTGAACAATTATAACAATTAAAAACAACAATAATGATAATAACAATAATAACATAAAAAAATATAAATAAAAAACAAGATAATTCATTCGTGCAGTTGGCGTATTTTGTAAAAATTACATGAAATTAAAAATATTTAATTGCTAGTGAATGAATTACAAAATTGTAAACAAAATCATTCTGTTATTTTCAATTTAATTGTCGACGTCATCGGCCAAAGAACAATTATCCGGTGTTTCTGAAAAGTTTAGAATCATATTCTTCAATATGTTCCTATGGTCTTCTTCGTAATTAAATATGTCGTTATTATTATTAATAATTATATTATCGCTATTATCATTATTATTATTATCATCATTATTATTATTACCATCATCATTATCATTATTACGGTTACAGTCGTCAAGGACGCTACTTCCATAAATATCATTAACCTCATCATCAACGTTATCATTAACACCATCATCATCTTCTTCTTTATCATCCTGGTGTCGTATTGTGGACCTGCTTAGTGGGACTTTATTTATAAACCTGGGGAATTCGTGGGAGCCAAAAATAGGTTGGGGAATTTTTAAGATTTTGTCCAGCTCCGGAAGCATGGATTCGTAAGTTATAACCGGTTCGACCATTTCCGGGATGATTAAGGATTCTGTAGATCGTGATGTTGATATTGATATTGTCTCTAGTGCCGCTGCTGCTGTTGCTGCTGTAGTTGTTGTTGTTGCTGCTGCTGCTGTTGTTAAAATAAGTGGTGTTGATTCAGTTGTTGTGTCCGTCGATGTTAACGTTAATGCCGATGATGTGATGCCTTCGTGACTGGGAATGATGATGGAGGATTGTGGCGTCCTATCTAATGACGTTGAGCTCTCTGATAGGCTGCTATCGAGAAACATGGAAGACAGTGGAAATGCCAGGGCACCGACCGTTATCGCGTCTGCTGAAGCTTCCGTAGATGACGTCATCCTCATTGTTGCTGCGATTGGCGTCGATGTGGTCATAACGGTAGATGTTGTGGTAGTTGTGGTTGACGCGATTCGAGTGACGAAGGTTTTGTGGGCGGGACCACCGAAACTCGGAGGCACGTGTAGGTGTTGGGAGATGAACGCGTTGCTCTGGTTGCCATTGCTACGTGAGATTATGTGAATGAATGAGCGACTGAGCGAGAAAGAAAATGAATGAATGAATGAATGAATGAAAAAATAAATTAATGAAAGGGCAGGCAAAGAATAAATGAGTGACCGAGCAAACGAAAAAATTGAATGAATAAAACGATTTATAGAAACTTGAAATTATACAATTAAAAAAAGTGAGCATAGACGTCTTGTCGTCGTCATCATAATCATCACCACCACCATCGTCACCATCACCATCATCATCATCATCATCACCATCGTCACCATCACCACCATTACTTACTATACAACGCCGAGTTTATCATTGAGTAGCGTATAAAGGTTGGCCAAGGTCATACCAAGCTGACTTGTTGCAACCCCGCAGTAATGACGTAACTAGGGGATGGTGATGGTGATGCAAAGAAATAAAAACATACAAACACATGAGAATATGATACGGTAATCAAACAAACAAACAGACAAACAAACAAACAGATGAACAAACGAACGAACGAATGAACGAAAAACATTAATATCTATCTTACCTGGATAATATTTTTATTCAACAAGAAGACCGCATAATCAAACTGAAAACGATCCCGGCCCTTGATGGCAAGTGGAAATCTGAAAATGATGACGTCAATGATGATGATGATGATAACGATGATGATAATGTCGACGATGATGACGATGATGATGATAAAATCTCGATAAAATGTCTGGCGATAACAACGACGATCATTAGAATAAAAACAACAACAACAACAACAACAACAACGATGATGTCATATGGTAAAATTAACTAAAACATGGCGAAACAGCCCCACCCTACCCTCCCCTCTCTATGTAGGTACTAACTCTCTCTCCTTGGCATTCAGGAGATCGATGATGTCATCACGGACGGACGACGACGAGCCTGCGTTTCTGATTGGATACCTCAGCGGTACGTCTAGGAAGAAGCTGACCATGCTGACGAGGTGGGCCGTGTAACCGAGAGCGACTGAAATCATGACGTCATCCTGCCCTGTGGTTGTTTAATGGAGAAATGGATAAATGGATGGATGGCTAAATGGATGAATGGTTAAATAGATGGATAGTTAAATTGATGAATGGTTAAATGGATGGATGGCTATTGGAGGAATAGTTAAATGGATAGTTAAATGGATGGATTGCTATTTGGATGAATGGTTAAATGGATGGATAGCTAAATAGATGAATGATTGAATGGATGGATAGTTAAATGGATGGACGGTTACATGGATGAATAGTTAAATGGATGGATAGTTAAATGGATAGATAGCTATTTGGATGAATGGTTAAATGGATGGATAGATGGATGAATGAATGGATGGAGGATTAGATGGACGGATATATAGACGGAGATATATACAATTTATGACAATAACGTTAATATTTAATTAACATAATTAATTAAAGCTACCAAGCATGTTTTCGGATTGCGGCAGGTGTACATTACAAATGTAATAAGGTTCAGAAGCAATCCTCTTTGCCGCTGGTGACGATGACGTAATAACATTGTCGGGCTGCGTTTTTTTTTCGTAATTTATTTACAAATTTTAAAATAGTAAGCGCTAAATAAACGCGGGTATTTATTTTTTTTTACGTAAGTTGAAGAAGTTGATCATGTCTGAGGAAATAAAATTTTCTGAAACACAAACAAAAATCAATCTTGAAATGTAAAATATTTGTTACTGAAAAGTGGGAATACATAAAATATGTTAACAATCTTTTCGTCGCCACCACCATCATCACCATTACTATCATCATCATTATCGCCATCATCATCTTTTTCATCATCATCATTACCATCATCATCGTCTTCATCATCATCATCATAATTACTATCATCATCATCATCACCATCATCATCATCACCTTCCCCTTGGTGATAGGATAAATAGTTGAGAGATCGGTGAGCAAATATTTTCTCCGATGTACCAATTGCGTTCCAACCTTTATCAGCTGCTCTCTGGTGGCGATGATGACGACGACGACGATGATGATGATGTTGGTGGTAATGGAGATGATGATGGTGGTGATGATGGTAATGGTAATAATGATGATGGTGGTGGGGAGGACGAAGAACGTGATGACGATGTTTTTGCCGATTGTTAGTGAAATAAAAATTAGACCGAAAACCGAATAGTCAATTGATCAATCCAACTAACCAGCCAGTTAGTCATCCATTCAACCGGCCAGCCATCCATTCAACCAACCAACCAACCAGCCAATCAGCCATTTAATCAACCAACCATCTATTCAACCAACCAGCCAGCCAGCCAACCAGCCAGCCAACAAATTGGCTGATTACTACCAACCTGATATCAAAGTACCCCTTCTTCTTCTCATGCAGCTCGTCCCAGGAGACTGCCAACTGTTGCGTATTTTCTGTCATCACTAAATCTATTTTTATATCAGAAATATCAATTCCATCATCATCCTCATCATCGTCGTCGTTGTCACCATCATGATTATCATCATAACTATCGAGGTTGTCATCATCGTCTTCATCACTTTTCAGATTGTCATCATTATCATCGCAATCATTCATCATCATTACATCATCATCATCATCATCACATCATCATCAAAACCAACCATCGATTTCATTGGATGACCTGATAGACTCCAGTTTAGTTTCCTCAAGCAGACGTGCTGACCTCCTCTGCTCCAACTCCCTCCTCAACCTTTGAACTTTGATCTTCATTGCATTTAGCTCATATCGCTATGTATAACAACAATAATAATAGTAAGAATAAGAAGAAAAAGAAGAAAAATAATAATAATAATAAAATACTTTGTTGTATTTGGACTGTCTCTCAGTAAGGATGGACGTCACAGAAGTTTTTAATTTCTCAACTTTGTCCTTTAATTCTTCTACGGCATTCAGTGTTATCTGCAATCTGATGATGATGACAACGACTATGACGATGATGATAGCGATCTTTATCATCATCATCATTATCATGATCATCATTGTCATCATCATCATTATCAGCATCGCCTTCTTTATCAGCAGCATCGAATCAATCAATAAATTATTTAATAAGCCAGTCAATAAATAATGAATACAAATGTCTAGAAGTCAGTCAATCAGTCAACCAATCAATGAACCGACCAATCAATGAACGAACCAATCAAAAAAAACTAGTCATCCAACCAACCAATCATCCAACTAACCAATTAAGCCACTAACCAGCCAACCAATCAATGAATCGACCAATCAAAAAGAAAACCAATAGCAAAACCTTTTTAATGAATCCAATCTATAAGACAATCTCTGTTGATTTATGCTGACGGCAACTCCAACTTTGCAACCACTCTTACCCCCATCACCATCCTTCCCGTCGCCATCATCATCATCATCTTTATGATGATGATGATGATGAGGATGATGATGGGGATGAATGTTAGTGGAAGTGTGCTGCTGCTGCTGAAGCTGATCATTGGAGGAATGATGCTTGGGGTGGTCATGGTCTGTAGGTGCCAGGCAGAACAAGCCATCGTCGAAATCCAGAACAATGGCGTTAGCATTGTAGACATGAGTCTGCCAAAATGATTGAATATCAATGATTGTTAAGATACACAATCATCAATGATTAAGATACACAATCATTAATAATTAAGATGCACAATCATCAACGATAAAGATACACAATCATCAGTGATAAAGATACACAATACTCAACGTTAAAGATACACAATCATCAACGATAAAGATACTCAATCATCAGTGATAAAGATACACAATACTCAACGTTAAAGATACACAATCATCAACGATAAAGATACACAATCATCAGTGATAAAGATACACAATACTCAACGTTAAAGATACACAATCATCAACGATAAAGATACACAATCATCAGTGATAAAGATACACGATACTCAACGTTAAAGATACACAATCATCAACGATAAAGATACACAATCATCAGTGATAAAGATACACAATACTCAACGTTAAAGATACACAATCATCAACGATAAAGATACACAATCATCAACAATAAAGATACACAATCATCAATGATAAAGATAGACAATCAGCTGATAGCGACAACGATGTCTTAAAATGATGATGTCATCTCTAAAATAGAACGAAAATCGAGAACGAAATCAATAGATGCAAATTGGAAAAAAAGGAAACACCGAATGAATATGACTCATGACAGACATGGTGTAGAGAGATGGGAACAAGATTTTTAAAATTTGCTTCTAATGTTGTTACTAATACAATGCTGTCACTGATGTTGTTGTGACTATTGTTGTTGTTGTTGTTGTTGCAGATATTAATGTCATCACATTTGTTGTTGTTGTCACCGTCATTGTTGTTGGAGTGGCAAATGTTGTTTATGTAGTGGTATCTGTGGAATGTCTGGTAGCTTATGTCATTATAGCTGACGTTTGCATATGGTTCACTGTGTTCATCATCCGTGTTGGTGTTGTTTGTACATGGTTCATTCTGTTCATCACCACCATCCTTATTATTGTTGTTGTTGTTGCTGTTGTTGTTGTTAGAAATGGTGGTAGCAATTTGATTAATCTTATTTTTACACTCTGCAAAATTTTGATTGATGTCATCGTTGTTGTTGTTGTGGTTGTTGTTACTGTTACTCTTGTTGTTGCTGCAGTCATCATCAGTGGCAATACACCAAACCTTTATGCACAGGTCTGTATCGAAAAAAATATTAATTGAAAACACATTCAAAAAAGTACTATCCAAAGAACAAATAATACAGAGAATAAAAAGTACAAAGAATAAAAAGGACAAAGAACAATAAAAAAAAGTACATTCTTAGAGGTAAACATACAGTGGGAGGCTAATTGCGTTGCACTGACAACACCTGGTCTAATAATGTGGATGTTCTCCCATCTTGGGTTCTGTGTGCGTGTGTGTACGTGTGAGTATGCGTGTGGTGTGTGTGTGTGTGTGTGTGTGTGTGTACGTAGATGTGTGTTGGGATTAAAATGGGGTAGTTTATGATTTTTAATGATTAGTTTATAGTTTATGATTATTATATAACAAAATGATATAAAGTTATGAATGGATTTTTGGCATAATATTTAGATGGAATTTTAATAATGAATGAATGAATGAAGGAATGAATGAATGAATGAATGAAGGAATGAATGAATAAACGAGCGAATGAGTGAATGAATGAATGAAAAAATTAATAAATTAATTAATAATATATTACCAGAGTGCCATTGCAGAGTTCACTTGTGTAGAATGCTTTTAAAAGTAAAAAAATTAACCATAATATTTTTAACTGTATAAAGAAAAGCATCATCTTTGTCATCATCCTCATCTTCTTCTTCTTAGCCACCACCATCTTCATCATTATCATCATCCCATCATCATCTTTACAACCATTCCAATCATCTTTTATTATGTGCATTAAAATAAAAATAAATAATTATGTGTAAATTTTGCCAGCAAACATTTCTGAATGTAGTAATCAATAAAAAAGACACACACATGCACACATATACCTTTGCAGAACAACCAATGCAGAACACACACACACACACAATGTATACATGTATTAATAACTTTAGTAATATTTAACAGAACATTATATCCACATGTACTATAATATAATACAAATTAAATACATATACACACACATATACATATACACAAATATATACATACACACATATACATACCCATGCATACACATACATATACACACACACCTGTAGAATTGCTATCTTTATGTAGAGTAAAGAATAATGAGAAAGAGCAGAGTTCCACATAGCTGTTAATCTCTTTCTTCAGCCTCAAATTCTTTAGCATGATGCCTTTCAAGTGCCTAACTCGCCTCTGTGGGGTACATTGTCAAGAATTAGTGAATTAAACTCGTGAATTAGTGATTATAATAATGAATGATTAGTGAATGAATGCTATAATGATAATCTTATCATAATAGTATTAGTCTTTACTCTTTAGTGTGATACACATACATACACACTGTGAGGTGAGAGTCATCATTACCACAACAGAGCCATAAGTACCTGTTTCAGAAAATAATAGTTGTCACTGTTTGGTTGTGAATGCATCATCATCAGGAGGTCGTCAGTGGGGGCGTATTTCGCAACCCAATTTTTTATTTTTCAATTATTTTGTAAAAAAAATTGTAGAAAAATAAGGAAGGGGCAGATGCAACAAAAACAGCACATTCAATTGTTGCAAATATTAAATGACGGACTTACAAATTTTATGTTTTATTATTAATAAACAATTAACGTCTGAAAATGTTATTCAAATTTACGTCCACTAATTCGTTTCATGTAATTTGAAAGAAATTATTCACTATGAAGGCTCGCTCCGCACTGTTTTCATTTTTAATTTACTTATTTAAAAGGGAATTGAAGTTTAATTAGGCGTACAGTTTAATTAAAACTAAAAATAAAAAACATTTCTCAGTAATAACAATTATCAAAAAATAAAAATAATTTAAATTTTTTTTATGTAATTATTTAACATTCAGACTAAACCAAAAAAATTAAAATATATGCGTTTGTGACATAATCGAGGAGTCTATGTTTCTTAAAAATTTAAAAGTGAATAAACAGCAAAAATGACCAGTTCGTATGACAGAGCAATTACTGTTTTTTCTCCTGACGGCCATTTGTTCCAAGTGGAGTACGCCCAGGAGGCCGTCAAGAAGGGGTCCACCGCCGTACGTTCCCATTCGTATTTTTGTTGTACTAAACATCTCTTTCTCTGCGCTGATGTTTGGTTTCTCTACCTGCCTTTATCATTTCTCTATCTTTCTATCTATCTTTAGTTAATTTTTTAATCTTATTTTATTTTCATCCGGATTGTAATAAATAAAATGTGGACTATTTTTGTAATTATCGAAATTAGTCATTACCTTTATTAGTTATAGGATTTAATTTTCTGCTAAATGATTTCTTTATTTTCAAATTCAAATTAATTTCTATTATCGTCCACAGGTTGCTGTCAGAGGGACGAATGTTGTAGTCTTGGGTGTCGAGAAGAAGGCGGTCGCCAAATTACAGGAAGATAGGACAGTTAGGAAAATTGCACTTCTTGATGATCATGTTGCTCTGGCTTTTGCAGGTTTGTCAAGATGTTTTTTTCAATTTGTGTTATTTTAATTTTATGCATTGAGTTTCAGTTGGGTGAGACTTTTCCAGAAACTTTTTTTAATCATTATGTTTTACTTTTTAATATAATTTTTTTTCTAGGTTTAACTGCTGATGCCAGAATTTTAATATCAAGAGCCAGAGTGGAGTGCCAAAGTTACAAGCTGACAGTTGAGGACCCAGTAACAGTTGAATACATCACCAGATACATTGCACAGTTAAAACAGGTTCCCATGCTTATTTTTCATGAAATTTTTAATTTGAGTAGTTCATTTAAATTTTTTTTTCATATTTTTCAAACATTCATTATAAATGATTTAAAATGCCATCTTTTCTCACAGAAATATACACAGAGCAATGGTAGGAGACCATTTGGATTATCGACACTAATTGTTGGTTTTGATTATGATGGCACCCCACGTCTCTACCAGACTGATCCCTCAGGAACACACTTTGAATGGAAGGTACAACTAATAACCACAATTTAAATATAAATTTTACATTTAATTCAACTCTCATAAAGTTTTAAAAAAATTTCAAATCATCTTATTTTAGGCGAATGCCATAGGCCGAAGTGCAAAAACAGTGCGAGAGTTTCTAGAGAAGAACTATTCAGAAGAAGTTGCAGTATCTGATAGGGAGACCATCAAACTAGCCGTGAAAGCCCTCCTGGAGGTTGTTCAATCAGGTAGTAAGAACATGGAGGTAGCTGTCATGAGGAAAGATCAGCCACTGGAGGTGCAACTTTGATTCATCTCTCTTTCTTATTTTCTTCTGTTTCCATCTCCCCCCCCTCTCTCTCTCTCTCTCCTCTCTCTTTCTGTCTCTCTTTCTCTTCCTTAATAATTATGATGTGTGTATATATATATCTTAATGTAAATATATATATATACATTAAATATATTAATGTTTATGAATGTTTATTCATAATTACAAGTTATTGTGAATATTTATGAATTCATCAGATACAAAACACTGACGTCATTGATGAGTTGATCAAAGAAATCGAAAAAGAGAAAGAAGAGGAGAACGAGAAGAAGAAAAAGAAACCTCCAACTCAATAATAATGAAAAAAAATAATATCAATAATAATAATTCATTACGTCAACTATGGTATTTTAATTAATTTATATCATAAAGTTCAATTAAATTAAGGTTAAATTCTTGTTAGTTTGTACTTTTAACGTGGTGACGACGATGAAGGGGTTTCATTCGTTCGTTCGTTGATTTTCAACACTCAGCCATGTTCGTTATGTTTGTTCGTTTTTTTACTTGTTAAATATTCAAAAATAGAATTTTTTCGTATGTTTGATTTGAGATCGAAATTTCTATTGGAATTCGGTCTCTTCTATTCGTTGCGTTAGTGCCAGCAAACTGTTTCTGAATTAAATAAATCAACTGTATTCGCGATATGCATGCGCATATATATATATTGCAGGCAGTTTCAAATTCTACTGCAGAAAAATTCTCTAGTGAGCTTATGCTAGAGTGATTTTGTGTGATACGAAGCTGGTAGAAACGAGAAATCTGAGACGGATGGTAATTAAAATATTACTACTAGTCGAATAGATAGATAAGTAGATGTAATTGATGTTATTTAGTATGCGTGTATTGGTGCTTGGTGGGTAAGTTGATGTAATTGGTGTTATTTATATACCATGTATAATTTCGGTACGCACATCGCTGAACTCACCTGCCTGTTTTTATCATCTCAGTACATATAATCATGAACACACATACATACATATATGCCTACATACATATATGCATACATTGATACATACATACAAAAATATATACACATGTATATCACTATCTCACTGATCCATCTAACCAATGGTTTTGTGTTTACCTGCATGGTGAACGTTGAGCTGCTGTGTTCTGATCAATCGTTTAGTTTTGTAAGGTGCTTATTCATACATATACGTAAATGAATACATATGCACATCCTATACAATATACATACATACACATACAGACGTACATGTATACTTACATCTTTGCTCTGATTGGCTCCTTGATTGAGAATTTTTCAGGTGAAAAATTCCAATTCGGATGAAAAATATAATAAATAATCCGACTCAAACTCCGGCTCCTCAAAAAATTCGATTCTGGCAAAAATCTCCAACTCCGACCGACTCCGATAGTTTGCATCTTACGTTGTATTGCTGATTTGTATATGACCCTTTTTGGGGCAATCCTGAGATACACTGTCTTGACTGTGGCTTGTAAGATGAGTGGTGTTCAAGAGGACGTTTCTTAAATTCCTCACCATCAATCTTTCTTAATGTTGAACTTCTGTTCGACAGGTAGGTCGTTCCATATTTTGGTCAAAATACATACATAAAAATATATACACATACAGTGTGTGTATACATGTATTTTGAGTGTGTGTGTGTGTGTGTGTGTGTGTGTGTGTGTGTGTGTACGTGCGTTACCGAATGTATGGTATTTGTGATAATGATTACGATCGTAATATTTGGGAGTGTTTCGATAGAAGACCAGCTGCCATGAGCGTGGTGATGATTGAATGATGATGAAGAGATGATGATGATGAAGATGATAGTGGTGGTGTTGGTGATGATAGCGATGAATAATGAATATTAAAACAATAAAAAGAATATAATTAAGAGGATGATGATGATGGTGATGAATGTGGAGGTTGTTGTGGTAAGGCTAGTTACGATTCATCAAATGATAATGATGATGATGAAATAATAATAAATAATAATGATAGTGACAACGACGATGATAAATATGAAATAGAAAAGAAATATTGCGTAATCAATAAAATTACAAAAATTGCAAGAACAAATACTACAAAAAATAATAAACAAGAAATGAAAGCAATAACGTGAATAAGAAATAATAGTAACAACAACAAATAATAATAATAATAGTAGTAAAAGAAACACAAATGGAAGAAATAAAATTATTTCCAACATAACGGTCTGCTGGTTGTGTTTGTTCAAAAAATCATTTGAACAAAGAAATGCTACATACTTCTCGTGCAAGTGCTGAACGAAAACACGAGGTTGAACACAAAGATGAACATGAACAATGGGGATGAACGCGAACAATGAAGAATTGACAAACACAGAACATGAACGTACTACAAGATGTTTCAAAAGTGTACACAATACTGAACATTTTGTATGCTTTGTTGTTTAGGTATACAAAAATTGTTCAACGTTTGCATATTTGTATTTGTTAGTGAGTTTGTTTTTGCATACGTTTTGTTGTCTAAATGTCTGTGTTTTTGTATGTGTATTGTGTATGTGTGTTTGACATCAATTGTTTGTGACATTTGCGACATGTGTTAAGCATGTGTTGCTTAAAAACAGATGTTCGAATGTATGAGTTTGTGTGTATGTGTGTATATGTACGTGCGTGTGTTTGTTTGTGTGTGTGTTTGTGTGTTTGTTTGTGTGTGTGTGTGTGTGTGTGTGTGTGTGTGTGTGTGTGTGTGTGTGTGTGTAAGTAAAAACATGTTTATGTGCGTATATGCATAAATATTTCTCGCTCTCTCTTTTTCTTCTTTTCTCTTTATCTCTCTGTGTTATGTGTGTATTTCTTTATGTGTGTATGCGCGCGTGTGTCATGTGTGTGTGTGTGTGTGTGTGTGTGTGTGTGTGTGTTATGGGTGTGTATAAATGTGGTTCAGTGTTAAATTACGTACTAATATAATTTCATGCTAACCTAAAGGCACTTGATTATTAATGAAATACACAACTATGAGAGGAAATACGTCTTTGTGACTGTGTTTCTGTTTCAGTTTGTGCCTAAATGATTGTTAACGAGTGCATATGAATAACAATAATAATAACTAAGTAGGCGTACAGTGCATGTACGGGCAAGTATGCTATATAGGTGAAGTGGAATGTACACTATGCTGTGTGTACTACATGTGTACTACATACGCACCACACATGCACACCCACACACACACACGCGCACGCACACACGCGCACACATACACATTTATGTTTGTTTGTTGGTTTGTTTGTTTACGTTTCCATGTTACTCAACTTCCCAAAAACTATTCACTCCATGTGAATGTGTTCCAATTTTATAACGGGTGCTATATAAATCTAGTAATATATATATATATATATATATATATATATATATGCGTGCGTGTGTGCGTGCGTGTGTTTAATAGTCAGAAGCTTATCATCCCACGGAACAATCATTGATTTACAAGGTAGAGATCACTTTTTTATTACACCACTACTATACTACTACGCATATACTTTCTATAATTTATATGATAAATACACACACATACACGCACGCATACACACAATCAAACACACACACACCTACATACATATAAATATATATTAATATATACTTTATACTATATTTAAGGTGGAACATTGTATAGTAAATGTTATATATATTTATGTAGCAAAAATTTATATATGTAAAAGCTATATACGAAGATTATAACTGGGGGAATATTGTGTAGAGAAATTAGGCAAGAGCACTTAACGATAAAATTTACTATATCTGCTCGTTCTTTGTCGAATATATTTGAATTAGTTAAATTAAATTTCATATTTTATTGTCCTTATTATTTAAATTACATTTTAATTGATTTATAATAGTTATTATTGAAATAAACTTCTCTACAGTAACGTTTAAAAGTGTTGTCTATTAATATTTACTTGATGAAATGAATTTTTAATGCGAGCTAATTATTGAGGTGGTTATGATAAGAACATTTACTGTCGTCATTATCGTCGCGTCAATAGCGACAAAATTTTGATATTTTGGTGGCTGCAGTATTATATAATTAGTATTAGTTGTTGTTATAGTAGTAGTCTCGTCGTCGTAGTAGTGTTATTGGTGGTAGTAGTTGTAGTTCTACGTGTGGTAGTAGCTGTGGCAATGGTAGTTGTTGTAGCAACTGCAATTTTTTTGCGTAGTAAACAAGGAAGCACATGAGCGAGAAATTTTTCTGTCATCTAGTATCTACGTACGAACGCGTTGGTACAAGATTCGTTTCACGGCCGTTTCACCATTCACCGGGCCATTAGAAATTATTTAAAAATCATTTTACATCACCTGAATTGACTAACCGATGACGTCATAAACATTAATGCGTCACGTGATTTATGACTGGCATTTTGATTGGCTGATTAGAGTTTTAATTGACACCTGTAAAGGCAAAACTATCACTTTAATTGTTCTTTAGAATTTTATCTGGTTGTGTACACACGCACACACATATACTCTCACGCACACACACACATATACTCTCACGCACACATAGATCCAACACACACACACACACACACACACATATATATATATTATTTATATACGGATATATACGAACAAATCTATATTATTTATATATAAATATAAATACAGGTTTAAATCTTGCACTAACCTTTCTTATATTAAATCATTTCAATAAATTTTTAGCGGAAACATTAAAAAAAATTTGGAATTTATAGAATTTGGGATCTAACTGAAAACCTTAACATTACAGTTTACAATCTTTTTTACATTAAAAATAATCAAAATTTTGAGACTAAATTTGGGGACTAAAGAAATTTTTTTTAATTTTTCATCACCTCATGATTGTATAGAAAGGTAAGATGCCCATATACAAAATTACAAACTTTTCGTCAACCCAAGATCTAACGAAGAAACAACCACAACGTGAACAACATCAACAACAGCAGCAGCAGCAACAACAACAACATCAGCCGCAAACACAGAACCAACTACAACAATTTAATCATTTGGATAATTCCCAACGAAAACCAACATCCAACGAAATCTCTACAAATCAAAATACAAATAACATCAACTTGAGCAACAAAAGCAGCACTACAAACAACAACAACAACAACAGTAATTACAACACCAAGAATACAAACACTAATAAAAGCAACAGCAACATCAGAATCAGCAACAGCAGCAGCAAAACCAGCTTTGATCAACATCAACCGATCATCAACAAAAACGGCGACGTGACGTTCTACTTCGAGAAAGTGGTTGACACCACACCGCGCTCCAGCTTCTCCTCACCATCGCTATCTTCGTCCAACTCCTACTCCAATTTCATAAAGGCAAATTTGCATCCCCAGCAGCAAAAACATTCGATGGAGGAGAGCATAATTGAGAAAGAAATACGACTGCAAATGGAGAGAGAGCTGGAAATTAGATCGCTAAAAAACAATTCACTCAACAGAGCATCTAACAACCCTACCCCCATCAACAACATCAGCAGCAGCAGCAATAGCATATTTAGTCACAACAACAACAACGGTGGGTTGTACCAGCACAAGAGAAGCGACAGTATGTCACTTGCAGGTTCCGATATCTCCAACAACACAGCCACAACGAACACGGCATCCAGTGGCAGCTACTACACACCAGAGGAAGACGTTAACGGCAATTCCACAATAAGTCGGTATGTGAGGGAACAAAATGGAAACTTACATTACAAGAACGACAACATTAATAACATCAACGACAAGAACATCAACGGCAGCCATAAGAACACAGTCGACCACGATTTCACTGATAACGTCGATAACTATTCTTCACCGAAATCTGACGAAAATGGTACCAATAAAATGAATTATCAAAAGGTAAAGCGCCATTATTATTTCTTTCATTAGTTTCTTCCGACGCTATTAACAACTAACTTATATATTTTTTTAAATCATTAAACATTAACATAACAACTCATACAGAGATCATTAGTCCAGCCGTTTGCCGACGAGGACGATGATCCCCGGTTCAAATTCATCCAGCCGCAACAAGAATCGGTCATTGAAAAAGAAGTGAGATTGACTCGACAAAGAGAGGGTTCGCTGAGGAGAGCCAGAGGTTACCCGCTAGTCACCCACACCAACGAATTGGAGAGCGTTGTTGAAATTCCGCTCTTTGATCCGTCCACCAACAACGATGACAACGACACCTTTTCGAACAAAATTTGTAATAACAACTGTACAAAAAGTCTATCAAATCAAAAGCTAGATGAGTGCGACAAGTACATACAAGAGAGCGGCGCTAGGCGATTTGCCACGAACCGCCTGAAACAAGAAATCTTAAAAGAGAGGCAGCGAGAAATTGATTTGAGAAGACTGGGCAAAATAAATACTCTATCATCGGAGAGGGTTGCATTGGATGCAAAAACTTTAGAAGAACTAGCTTCCAAGAGATCAACCAGCGAGCTGAACATCAGAGAGGTTAGTAACTCGCACTTGAATCAAAAAGAGTTAACAAGCGTCAGAGACGTAGCGAGGCCGATGAAGAAGACATTAACGATAGTCAACAACAACGACAGCAGCTGCAGCAACGTCAACAACGAAACAACCGGCGGTCATAATGATGAAGATGCCGTTGATAACGATAATATCGCAGAATGGAGAATCGAGGAAGAAATTCTTGAATCGAAAAGAAGAGAAGAAGAGCTGCGGTTGGTTGATTCTTACTTTAATTATTTATGATTATTAACTAAAATAGACATATCATCAGTATGTACTACATTATCTTTTAAACATCGTGGTAATCAATTCGTCTCATATAAGAATCCAAAACTAATCGCTCACATGATAAAAACACCAGAGAACAGAGAAAGAACCTAGGCCTGCAAGTGAACACGTTGAAACCGCGAACCAACCCAACATTTGTATCATCATACAGAAGAATCTAGGTGCTATCATCGGATTGATATCTATCATCATTGGACGGTAGATACAAGACAGATAAGTTTAAACTATCATTTAAAACAATTGATAACGTTTTTCTTAGATCACAATATCAGTAAATCCGACTGCCTTTGATTCTAGTCTTAATAATCAAAATCTTTTAGTCAGAAGAATGTTGAAATCAGCGAAAATAATAATCTTAATGGAAATATAATCTTTTTCCAAAAAAGAGAATGAAGTAATGATTCAATTTAGCACATGATGGTAACAAATGTTGAACCATCAAAATACTCAAATGACGTTAATTTACGCGAGGAACATGTTTACTACAAGATTAAAATCATTAATTTATCACTGATTATTGCACGATTCATCATGTAGCATTAATAATATTTACGTCGATATCTTCATAAACACACGTATACAAAAACCCTCCATATTCAAAGGCAATACAAGATACAAGCTTTCATCAAAATATTTTAGTATTTATTTACTGATAATTGTTTCTTTTAACATTTTTTTTTATAAATTCGAGACGAAAGTGCAACTTGATGTTTATTTAGCATTTTAAAAAGTCAAACAATAATTTTCTAACAAATAAAAATAAACACACACACACACACACGACACGCAGAAATACACGAACATAAACACAGCCATGCATGCAATTTGTATATGTGAACTTTCCATAACAGACTTTTCTTACTCAGTTTTTCACAATTGTTTTGATTTCGGATATTGTTTTAACAAATTAAACAGAAAAAAATAAAACAACAATGATGATGGGTTATATTAATCTTTATCATACTGAATACAAATCCCAATCATTATATTAAAATTGACAAACACTTAGAAAAACCAAAGCCCATACAGAAACATAAGTAGACAAACAGAGAAATATACATACTCTCTCTCTCTCTCCTCTCTCTCTCTCACACACACACACATACTCAAACACGCACATATAAAGCTAGGATGATCTCATAGGCGGAGAAACCAGGATGACTCCATCACCTCTCACAAACAGCATTGGAATACTTCTTTTTGTCATCTGAAATTTTTTTTTTTCTGTAAATTAACTTTTAAAAAAAAGAAAATAATATTTTTAAATATTAACTGCACAGGTGATCCTATGTATTTAATTATAGGTACACTTCTGGTGACAAATTACAAATTAGTTGTAAACATGATCTAGAAAAATAAGCACCGAATACATAGAAGAATAAAAACATATTATAAAAAAACTAAATAAATTTACTTATTAGGTAATTATTCCGTTAATTAATTAATTAACTAATTAATAAATAATTAACCTTATAAATTTCTTCATAAGTTTCTTCATCTATGACCACTGTCGTGATGGTCTCTTCAACATCGCCAAGAATCATATTCAAGTGCTGATCATACGCCTTCCATTAATTTAATAAAAATAATAATTTTTAAATGAAAATGAAATAATAAAATGAACATATTCTATTTTGGTTCATTGAATTTTTATAATTAAGATAAAGTAATAATTAAATCTTTTTAATTCTTTTCAATCATGTATCTTAAAATATCTTGGGATATATAATAAATCAATGATATCTCAGAAAACATGATTAATGTTTCTACACTTTTAAAACATTAAAATAAAATGAAATAAAATTTGTTTGGACAAATTGATTAAGCAAACAAATGAAAGAATTTGAACTGGACACTCTACAGAAGACAAGTAGAGACCTGAATAGTGAGCTAATCTTGTAAACTTTACAATGTAAGGTAAAAACTAAGGGAGATAGACATTAAGTAAAAACATCTTACAAAGTTGTTAATCATATTTTAAATTTAAAATGATTAACATGTGAAACCATGAATTTATTATCACCATCAGTGGTCTTTTTATATGTATGGGTTGTATGTGTATTGCACATTTGTGTGCATGTTTGTTTATTTTTTGTATTGTCTTGTCATGCCATGTTTACTCATTAGTCATTAACAATTTACATTAATTATTATTGTCATCTTACATTACAGGCAGCAGACAATAAAATTCACAAAAATTTGAAAAGTACACCAAAAACACTAAAATTCTTACATGAAGCCTTCCTTTGAGCTCCCTTTCATTGCGCATCTTCACATAAATCTTCTCATCGAGACTAAGTCTGATCAAGTCCAGAGGCTCTTCTACTGTGTTGGAGACCACAGGCTGTATAGAGAAAAAAAATGTTTATAATTTGAAAAATTTGCTAATATAATAGACACAAAATGCAAATAATAAAAATTTATCATTTTTGAAATTTTGTTACCTCCGGAGCTTCGTCTGCCATACTTTTCAACCAAATATTTCAAACAGAAAAAAATCCCACCAGCGATAATTTAGTTTTGTGTACACAAAGAAAAATTAGTTTAACTATATTAAAATTATTTTCATTTATAATACCACTGTATGAATGTAGCAAATAAATCTATACACAATTGCGTTGTATTTAGTTAAACATTTAGAAAAAACAATATTGTCTGTTTAATAATAGTTTAAATGATGGTGCCATTAAACACTGTTTTCTACTTATGTATATATATATAAAATATATTCTAATTATATGGAATATAACATATTCTTTATATATGGATCAGGTATTGGTATTCAATATATCTAACAAAGCCATATAAACCTATTTTAGTTAATAATATTATATATTGGCCATGATGTTAATGGTAATATGTACCCATAGAATTATAATTATTAATTCAATGTATGTACCTGTCTGGTCTATACAATCAGCTTATATTTAGTATTAGTATAAGAAGATAAAATGTGGTCCAACTATGGTATAATAATACCTGGACAGCTTTTTCAGGCAAAGCTATCAAAATGTTAATGATATTAGCTGTAAGGTTTTCCTGCTGATGAAACATATGTTCATGCTGGTGGTGATGATGATGCTGATAAGAAGAAAGATAACGAGTGGTTGATGGTGAAGCAACGATAACGATGATAATCAATTGATTTGAATCATCAAAAAGGTGTACACACCCTGCAAAAAATCAATTTTGTGTTGCGTTGCATTATACTTCATTGCGTTTTCATTTCATTATCATTTATTATAGCAATTTAATGTTTTAAATAGTGATTAATTATCAAGTTATTAAGTTCATTATTTAACTTATTCAACTGTCACCTGTGTGTTACAACAATTCAGTTTCTTTTTTACCTCTAGCGATAATATAACTGTTGTTATTTATTTACAAATTTTAACTAAAAAATCACAAATTTGAAACCCTAATCAAAAAAAAGAAACATGGATGAAACCGAAAGTTTGATGGAAGAAATCGAGAGACTGCGGAATGAGTTAGATCGAGCCGTGAAAGATCGGGAAAAGGCTGCCGAATATGGACTGGCCGTCCTGGAAGAAAAACAGAATTTTCAAACTCGCTGTGAACAGGCTGAAAACCTCTACGAAACCACACAACTTGATCTAAAGCTAACTAAAGACGTTAGCAGGATTTAAAATCTTTATTTTTAATTTTTTTAAGTATTTCTAATTGATTTTATTTTTATTCCTATTAAATTTAGTATTTATTCATTCATTAATCTATCTATATAATTATTTCATTTTCTTATCATCATTATTTTGAAATCTTATTGAAAGTTAACCTTATTATTTATTAAAACATAAAACAGACATTAGCTCAGTTGCAAGGAAATTTACGAAAGGCCAACGAGTTGGGTCTCACTCATGAAGAAGGTCTACTGCAAGATGAAGAAGTTTTGAGGAGTTCAGTCAATCGATTGAACACTGATTTAAGAAATGCTCAACACACTAACCAGGAATTGACTATAGAAAACGAGAAAGCCTGCACCAAAATCAACAACTTAGTAAGTAGACTTGAAGAATTTGAAGCTTTGAAAGTTTCACTTAGAAATGAATTGAGAGAATTAAAAATGAGGGAGTCACAATTATCTACAGACTTTGCTGAACTGGAAGAAGAAAATGTGCTGCTGCAGAAGCAACTGATGCAAATGAAGCAGAGTCAAGTGGATTTTGAATCAATAAAGTATGAAAACAAGCAACTTACAGAAACTGTTGAAGAACTGAATCAAGAAGTTGAAGCGCTAGACAAGCTAAAGGAGATTGTAGAAAAAAATTTAGTTGAAGCTTTGGAACTTTTGCAGAGGGAAAGAGAAGAAAAATGTCATTTGAAGAAGGAATTGGATCAAAGAATATCATCCGAATCAGTCCATGCATTGCAGGCATTAGCATCTACTCTCGGATTAAATGAATTTTCTCAAAGTCAAATCTGTATCAATTCAAATTATGGTGAACTCTATCAAGAAGAGCATGACAATCCCACTCTAAAAAAATTGGAAGCTGATTTTGTTTCAAATCAAGCTGCAGAGATCATAAACACGGAAGTTGCAGATGGTGATTCCAGTTTTGTTGGAGACCTTTTTTCCGAAATTCATGTTAATGAAGTCAAAAAACTTGAAAATTTGGTAGAAAAACTCGAGGCAGAGAAGAATTTACTTGAGAAATCACTGCAAGAAGCAAATGAAAACATTGAAGTTTCCAAGCAACAAGTCAAACAGACCACTGACAAAGTTGTTGAATTGGAAAATTCTATAAATGCAGTAAACAATTCCTACACAGCATTTGCAACTGACTCAGAAGAACTTAAAAACTTGATTCAAAATTATTCAAGTTATGAAAGTGCAATTAATCAAATCTTAAAATTCCGCCAAGAAATTGCTCAGCTGTCAACCTCACCAAAATCATCAAATTTCCAGGTCAACCCTGAAATTGATGTTCAAATTAGGCGGTTGGAAACAGAAGTTGAAGACAAGACAGACATGGTGAATGAATTAACGAATGCGCTGAACGATACATGCAACATACTGAAGAATCTTTCAAAGGATCTCTCTGAAGTGTATCGCATGATGTGTGCAGTCAGGTCTGAAGTACCGAACAAAAATGTTCTTCAGTTTGATCGCGTTAACAAGTCGGCTCTATTGGCCTTGGATGCAACTGCAGCACAGACTTCTACCATTCCAGACCCACCCTACATAGCATGCAGAAAATTATGTGATTTCGTCATGTCGCAGATCAGTACAATGACTCAAATCATGGGTCAAATTGTGGAATCAGAGAAGATCAAACAATCAGATGAACCTCAGACAGAAAGCATTGTTGAACTGAAAGAGCAAAACTCAAAATTAAAAATCATGTTGGCTACGAAAAGAGATCAAATAGCAACGTTGAGGAGTGTGTTGAAATCCAACAAAAACACAGCTGAAACAGCTCTGGCCAGTTTGAAACAACGGTTCGATAGCGAGCGACAGCAAATAGTCAACGAAGTTCAACGCCTGAGGTCCGAAGTTCAGAGTTTGAAAGAAGACAAAGCAACATTCGCGTCGTTGAGAGCATCGTTTGCCCAAAGGTGTGACGAGTACTTGACCCAACTCGATGAGCAGCAACTGACCATCATCAATGCGCAAGAGGAAAAGAAGACTTTGAACTCTCTTCTGCGGATGGCAATGCAACAGAAGATGGAGATCAGTAGCAGGTATGATGAACTTGTTAACGATCGTGAGGCCAGGAAGCAACGAACTTTTGTTCGAGGAGCTGGTGCAAGTTTTCAAAGAGGCGTTCCCAGGCCCAGCTACCAACCTTTCCACCCCACTCCACATCTTCAACAAGTAGATGACAGATTCTTGGCACAAAATTCTCAGAGATTTCCATCAAGAAGGGATTTCTAAAGAACCTTCCTCTTCTATTTTTGCCTCACTAATTTATTTATTGTGAAAATATTTTCTCACTTATCTTTCTCATGCTATCATTGATATATTTATTTTGAAATTTCTGTTGACCTTTTGAAATGTTTCACTTTTTATTTTTTTAGATTTTTGAGAATTGTATATATATATGTTTTCTAGCAGAAAAATGAAAATAAAGTGTCTTATAATCTTATAATAATAATTGTTTTAGAAAATTTATTTTTTTTTTTTTAGATTCGTTTATTCATAAATATTTTTTGGACAGTTAAATTTGCACTAAATTTGATAGTTTTTGTACTCCTTGTTGACCACCACGAAGGGTAGTTCTTCACGTTTTACAACGTCCAACTCACTACAATAATGTTTTTCATTGATTTTTAAAAATTTTTTTAAACATCTTAATGCCGTCCATTTTTTAACAGAGTTTTTTCGCTGATTTGGTTTCTCGTTTCTTCAATTATTTTAATCCTATTAACCATAATAATAATAATAATCACTGCTAATGCATTAATATTTTTTTAATTGTAGTATCATTGTAAGATATCATTGTAAGATATCATTGTAAGATATCATTGTAAGATGTCGAGAACGCTGTAATTATTTTATCATTAGTTTTATAGTCAAGTTTGTGTTGCTAATGATAGTTTTTTTGTTGTGAACATCATCTTGGTCCCAACTGCATCACACTAACCAGCACATGTTTATTATTATTAACAATAACAACAACGTTAACAATCATAGCAACTATGTTTTGACGACTATCGTAACAATGTTATTGGTACTAACAATATCGATGATGCTAATATAATTTGATTGTTTTATTCGATTATAGTATTATTTTTAGATTGGAACTGCCTGGTAAAGAAATACAGCTCACCATGGATTGTGTGTGCTCTTGTCTTTTCAAATTACGTTTCTATGCACCTGTTGAAAACGATTCATCTACTTGCTTAAGTATTTCGGTTTTTAGTGTTAAAATGATGAAGGAGCGTTTATGCTAGCCAGTGGCCGCCGCACGATGATGATTTGCCTGTTTCAAAGAGGTGGAGAATTGTCGTCATCATCGTCGTCATCATCATCATCGTCGTCATCATCATCATTGTTATCATCATTGTCATCATCATCATTGTCATCATCATCATTGTTATCATCATCGTCGTCATCATCATCATTGTTATCATCATCATTGTCATCATCATCATTGTCGTCCGCACAATAAAGCCAAACCCGCATTTAACACGCATTTGCGTTCGCAGCCAGTAAACTAAACCAATTGGAAAGTCCAAAATTTCTATAAATAGAAAACATAATTAGCAGTCACGTGACCTCGGACGTGACCGAATTATTTATTTAGGTCAAGGTCGACGGAGGTCAAGCACGTGACGGCTGGAGGTCGGTGCGTTTAGCGGTGCGAAAATGCGTGAGTGAATTGCCGACGAGACGACGACGACGATGATGGTGGTGATTTAAAATAACATGATATGATAAAATGATGATTAAAATTAAAATGATACGGCGATGGTGCTGATTAAAAGATTGTGACGTCAGTGACGAATGCAATCATGGAAAGGTTGATAAATAATTATCCTTTTCTATTTGTGACAACAACGCTGACACAGATGATGATGGCGATTATGAAGATATCGATGATGATGATGAAAATGATGATCATAAGCAGCAACATCGGCGTTTGAAAATGAAAAAGCAAAATAACAACAACAACATCATAAACAACAACAGCAGCAGCAATCACGACAACATCCCAAACAACAGCCACAACAAAAACAACAACAAACGTAGAATGAATAAGGTAGCCATAGTGGCAAGAAGAATTTAAGCGTTAACCGGTATTTATAACACGATATTTATGACGATGCGGCGTTTTATAATACATCATCAGCGTGATCACCATTTTTGCTGTCGCCATTGCCAAGACATTCACCTTAATAAGCACTGGCCGAATCATCATCTTCGTCACCAACATTTCACTCACTGGCTAGATGTGTAATACTCGTGTTATAACCATACAACCATCGTCGTCATTATCATCTTAAAAGGATTATCATTAGATTTACTGTCATCTTTATCGTTATGTTAATTTTAAAATTATTCCATCAGATATATATTGCAACTAAATGAACGTGTTGTTGTCGTTGTCATCGTCAAATTTGACGTCATTTTTGCCAACGTCATCCTCATCCTTTTCTTCTTCCTCATCATCAACATCATCATCATCGGCATCGCAAAGCCTTCTTCAATTTATCTTCACTGATCATCCGTTTATGATTACATTAGGCTTGGTTCGCATGTACATAGTTATATGTTCACAACACACACGCACGAACACACACACACGCACATACACACACTTCAAACACACACACGCACGCACACGCACACACACACACACACACACACACACACATATATATATATATATATATAGGTGAATATAATAATTATATTTTACATAAATCATAAAAATACCGAATCAATATTGACCGGTTGGTTGTTTGTGCACAATCGCGAAAGAAGTTTTGTATATATATATATATATGTGTGTGTGTGTGTGTGTATGTGTGTGTGTGTGTGTGTGTGTGTGCGTGTGTGTAAGAAATTTTGTACTTTTTTTTGTTTTTTTTTTTTTTAGATACAAATTTAAGACAATATCAAACAAATTTTTACATACAAATACAAATTTTTGTACGTGGTTTTATTTTTTTTCCGTTTTTATTTAGAGTTTACAGTAAATTGTCTGTGACTTGTAATGCGATTTTTATAGTTATACTTGAATTAATTGCATCCATCCAGCCTGTCTTACGCTTCTTCATTTAATTATTACACGGGATGAAATAAATTCTTTTTACGATAAATCACATGTGATTTTTGTAATCTGTGTAATTTGTAATCGGAGACTATAGCGACTTGCACATGTGTTAAATAATATAATAGTGTGCGTGACGATATAGTTTTTGCCTACATGTGCGCAAATATTGGTATCTATATATCTAGGTAGGTTTATGCGTGTATGCGCATTAGTATACGCAAAAATGTATGTATGCACGTGCACTTGCGCGTACGGTTGGTGTGAATACATTCATCATATGTACGAAATGTGCATGTTTGTATAGAAGTTTGTGTATGTGTATGTGTACTCAGTACTGTACATTGTGTAGTGTTTGTATTCTTTGGTGATTGTATCGGTGAACGTCTGTTTGTTTGCATCAATACAACTCTGTTTACACAAGAAGATTCGGAGATTTCTTAATATTTTGCATCACGTGACTCAGATAGCGCACGATTCAATATCTCTACAATGATGATAATCAAGAAAGCAAACGTGCACAACACCGGCGTATGTGTACGAGTGTGTACATATTCGTACACACATGTGGTCACTTTGTGTGCATTCACATACAACGTACACTCATGTGTATGTACTAGATTTGTATTCACATAAGTTTGCACATAAATAATATTTTATTTATAACATTTGTAAGATAATTCACGTAATTTTACACATAAATAATATTATACGCACTGTTTTGAAAAATTGAAATGAATTCTTAAAATGCATCGTCATGTCGTTCGTAATCCTCTGCAGTCATTATCAGACATGCTGAAGACGGCAAACATTTATTTTAAATCCCAGATTTATTAATTAAAATAATGCACGCTCAACTTTGAAATTTGAAATGATCATTAATAGAAATAAATTTACTCTAAGTACTGCAATCGGGTATTGATTTTTTTTTATGTTAAAGAAGTATTGGCGACATCAAGTTGGATACTCGCCATGAAGAGTATCGTAATCCTCTGTAGCAAATACCAAAAACTATCGCCGATACAATACTGGCAATAGCGATGCTCCGATATTATCAATTCTATCATGTTATCATTAACGAGTATAGATGCATAATAATATATAAGCAAGTTAGAAGAAATGATATATTTCGCTATATTATTCAGATTAAAATAAATACATGCAGCTTGACAGGCACGTACGTAAAAGTTTGCGACACACAAACGCCCATGAATGCTCACATACGCGTAGAAACATTCAAGGAAATGTACATACGATTGCATACAAATAGGCGTACACACATTCATACATACACGCCACACAAAATATATACATACACAGTATTCATGCAAAAACAAGCAAACGAACACACACACAGACACACAAACACACACACAAACACACACAGACATACTCGGACGTACTCACGGATACATACACTTGTGGTGTGGTGAGTGTATTCTCTCCCTGGCAGTATTCTTCTCAAGACATTGATTAATAGTTCGCATCTCGCGTATCAGGGATGTGCAACAATAGAGGGATGTGTGGGTGGTCGGTGCAAGAAGGGATGTGCCTCAACGGAGATGTGCACGGACGCGGACGTAGGAACAAAAATAGGAATGTGCTTATAGGGATGTACTTTCTCTGTGGATGTGCAATGTAGCTTATAAAGCTGGGAGAAAATAATCTGATTTGAATGATCAAAAATGTGGTTGTGCAAAAAATAATTATAAAAAATACAAAATCAAAATATAGTTTTTGTACAAAATAGGGATGTGTTAAAACAGGGATTTGCAAAATTATGGATGTGACCAAAAAAAAGAAATATGCGAAAACTGAGATGTCCCTGGGGATGAGTTTAATGACGAGAGGGTGGATGAAAAGAAAAGAAAGATATGATAATCTGATGACAGCCACAACAACAACGACGACGACGATGATGATGTTGTTGTTGATTACGATGATAATGATGATGAAATGGATGAAAACAGAATGATGACGACAGCTCAAGTGATGATGATGATGATGATAATAATATTTATGTAATCGTCACCGCATTTAACGCTTCACCAGATCAGTGTTGTGTTCATCATATTTGTCAGCATCATCATCATCGTCATCATCATCATCATCATCATCATCATCGGGTTCTTCTCATGAAGCGAAATAATTTGCTAAC